ACTGTGCCTTGTACTACCCCAACACTGCTTGTGTTCTACCTCTCCTACTTTTCTTTGCCTTCCATATGAAATCTGTAGTTTTTGTCCTGTTGCCCCAGTTCTTCCAGTCCCTTTGCCCTTGGGCCACAAGAGAAGGGGAAAAGTTGAGCAAAAAGCTAGGGTGGAAAATAAGGAATGTGTCCAGGAAAAGGAGGAGAAGGGATGCTGTCAGTTTGAGTAGCAAACCAGGCAGAAGGTCAAGTTGACTGTAATCTTTTCCTCCTAAATCTTGCCTTACTCCAGACAGTCTAGCCTTCTGCTCCTCCAACTCCTGACGTTGTCTGCCTTGTTCGTGCTTCAAGTTATTGAGTTTGACACACCTCTGAATGTGATCCTGAATGCAAATGTTTTAACTGCTTGCTAATGATTCACCTCTGATCATAAATCAATATCTTTAATCAGAATGTCCTTGCCTGAGCAACAGTAGAGCAAAGGGACTGTACCTTTGACATAATGAGTTTGGGTTGGATGCAAAGCAAGTTGCTATCTGCAGAGTCAGAGAGCAGAAAGAAGATGGATCTATTGATGGAAATTGAGGGAGCTGAATCAGGGTGGCAGTGTTTGTGGGTGCTGAGAGAGAAGCTCGGGTCTATGTCAGGAGATGTTAGATGAAATGTTGCCGAGTTTCCCCATCAGGCAAAACTGGGGCTAGCTGTGACAGAGCAGCCTGTGGTCTAACGGAGGAGCAGTGACGCACAAGAGGTTGCCAGCAGGATGGCCTGGCTCCGCAAGGACAAGGTCAGGAGAAAGCCTCATGTTAGGTCAGCCAGACGATAGCCGTTAACCTCCTTTCCTGCCAGCTGAACCTCCAACACTTGTGGTGGCTCCTTGCAAGGGCCACTGCCACCAGCTGCTGCTCTTTCCCTGGCTTGGCACCATCGTTTGGAGCTGCCCGAATGTGTTGGAGGTGTCTGGGCTGCTTGGGGAGTGCGGCAGAGTGTCATCTAATGGCGCCTGGAGGAGCTGCAAGTCAGCGAGACAGGCCTATGCTTTGCAGGCAGGCAGGCATGTGACTATGCTTCTGCTATCTGGTTTTCAGTGCACCTTTGTTTCTGTCTCTGACTGCACTAAATTCGAGTTATTGCTCGCTTCTCCAGTGGGGCTCTTTAGCTGAGCTTGTGCCTCATGTTGCTTTGGCTTTTTGGCAAGCTTCTTTGCTCCTTGCAGTCTTTGGGCCCCCTTGCCTTGCTTCACAGACACCACTGAAAATAGCCGGCATGCCTCAGGTAGCCGTAATGAAACCCTCTCTGCTTTGCGCTACGTTCATGTGGCTCGCTTCAGCACTCCTTTTGTGTCTCACTCCTCCAGCCCTCTATCATTTAAAATAGGGGTTTTTTGGTTTGTTGGTTTTGTTTGTTTGTTGTTTTTTTTTTTTCCCTTTTGAGGACTGTTTTTCTTTTGGACTTTCATGGAGCTGCTGGACCTTGTTCTGCCCCCTTCAGTCTTAATTATGATGAATTGTGACATTTTCTGTTCAGCAGTTCAGTTCTTCTCACAAACGATGCCCAGGAGTGTGAGGGTTATGCACAGTCCCAGCACGTGCAAGGATCACATACAAACAGTCTTTGCACCAAATTCCATGCACTTAGTCCTTATGGCTGTGGAGCTGACTGAAGACTGTCCCTGTTGGTTTTTATTTTGTGCTCTCTGCCCTTCCAAGACAATGAGTAGCAGCCAGTTAAAGGCTGCTTTCAAGGACTAGAAGAAATCTAGTGGCAATTCCCTGGTAAGTTTATGGCCCAGAATAAAAGGGCTGCAGCTTGTCAATTCACATTCTGCAGAAATTTGCATACTGCAGCAAATCTCGGTTTAGTGTCAGGAAAAAAAAAAAATGCATTAAAATTTAGATGTATTGAACTGCTTTCTTATCCAGAGGAGAGAGTTTTCCAAACACCCTTGGCATATAAGGAACTTCCTTTATATCCCTTAATATTCACTCTTGTTACCTTGCTAGATATATGGATAAATGGTTATGGATCATTTTCCCTTGTACCTCAACTACTTTTTAAGCTTCAGATACAGTCAGGAACAAGCCACTCCTAATATATTTGTGTTATTACTTGTCACCCAACACTTCAGACATTCCTGCTCTCTCCTTGTTACAGTACTTAACAATTTCTGATCACAAAACTCTCTCAAATTGCACTGTAATTTCATGTTATTGCAGGAACTGAGCATTTCCTTATTTATTTCCTTGTCTGAAATATAGCTACATTCAAGAACTTCCTGAATGTTCTTCTGTTTTGTTTACAGCAGGAAGTGCTGACTTCACACTGGAGAATGAGATGGCTTAGTCAGAGGCAAGGAGCTAGCTCCTGGCTCTTAGTTGAATGCTTCCCAAATGTCCTCTTAGATTTGTTGCCAGTGGTGAGGGGAAGAAGTGAGTGTTCAGTCTGCTTACATTCATTCCTTGGATGGCTTTTTGTAGAAGATCCTGTGACAAAAATACACACCCACATACATACAGTGCATCATCGGCCTGCCTTATCTAGCTCGGGAAAAAGAGACCAGAGGAAGAAGAGCACATATATGAATGTGGATGCAAGAGAAGGAGAAGATAAAAGGGACACAAAGAGGTTCAGGTCAGCAGAAACATTAGAAGTTCCATGTGAAACTTGTAGTTTAAACAAATCTTGAGTATAACTGCAGGTAAACTATTAGGTGTTGAAAGAGAGGATCCAGGGGAATCTTTATTTTATCCTCCAGGGGCAAATACTGCTGCTTTAAACCAAAATTTTCCAGGTTACTCCATCTTTCCCATTTAGAGTATCCTCACCTATTTTAAATAGGTGAATGGGTAAGCTTGGTGCCCAGGAATCATGTGACTGCGTGCAAGATACCATCTACGAAGTATCTTGGCATGTATTGAACTCCGCAAGAGGCAGAGCAGGCAAGCTACCGATTTCATTTTCCTGGTATTACTGTTTGTCTCCAGCAGATGGCACTGAGAATCTGTAACAGACCACCCTAACTGGGTACCTGCAGTTTGCTGTTCATGGTCTCTAGAGCGCAGAAATCTGGGGGAAATCTGACTAAATTTTCATGACAGCATATTCCGTGTCACTGCTGACTGCAGATAGTGCAGCTAGAGTGCCATGAGATCAAACAGCCACGCATCAGCATTTGCCCTTATCCCAAGGCCAACGTGGAGGTCAGTGTGGAGGCTGTGGCTCTGTTCAGCATTTGAAATCCAGTTCACTGCAGTTTGAATTATAATATTCCTTCTTTGCATTTTGGCTGAAAGCCTTCTGAATCTCTGTAGGCCTGTTTTCTCACTAGCAGAACGAATTTAGTGGATGATCTAACACAACTGAGCCATTTTCAGATGTAATTAAGGTAAGACTCAATCTTCAGAAAGGAAAAGAAGAACTAACAATAGTGTTTTGATAAAGCCACCATATCACCAAATGTCAAGAAAGAAAAGGGTTTCCTTGTTAAAAATTCCTGTTTTCTAGAGCTCTGACTTCTGTTTTATGTAAACATTGTATTCCTCACAGCATCCCAGTTCTCTGGCTGGACAGCACAGAAGGGACCTTAAATGATACAACTGAGGCTGGGAGGGTTGTGCAGAGGCAGGACCAGGATGAGCAAGGGACTGATCACTCTACACAGAAATAGCTAGGAATTACTAGAGTACCCTCTGTGCAATGACCAGCAAAACAGGAGCAGGAGCAACTGGTTTGTGGCATCAGCTGTGGTTATCAGTAGGGAAAGGCAATGGTATAGGGATTTAGAGGGTACTGAGGAATGAGAACTCATATTTTTTTTTCCCCCCAATGCTGTTTCCTCCTATGCTCTTAGTAGGATAACTTATTGGATATTTTCCTTGAGAAAGGTAGTTTTCTGTCTCCCTCCCACAGCTTCCCCTTCAATAAGGGAAATCCTAAGTATGCCTCTTCCTTGAACAAGAACCTTCTAAGGGCGATAAATGACTAGAAAAATTGTGTGTGCTGCAGGACTAGGCTTGCTTTTGGGTTGGTAAACAATTCCTCAGCCTGGTACGAAAAACAGAGATTGCAGAGTAAGGAGAAAGACTCAGGGAAAAGCAAGTCCTTAATGCCCTACCTCAGCAGTGCTAAGCAATAAGTTACCTATAATGAAAGCTTTGTTTCATCATCTTCCTTTATGTGACACTGCCTCATTAGTCTGCTCTTGGCTTTGAGTCCAAGTTGGTGTGAAAACTCCTGTTAACTTCTGAGTGGTTTGAGTGATGCCCAGTTAGGACTGGTCCTGCAAGTCAGCAGGGTTTATGCTGTGTACTACATCTTCTTTAGGCGAGCATTGTGTCAGGAGAAATGTAAAGGCTGCTCAGTTATAAGAGCTCAGCACCATGCTTCCCATAGCTCTACCAGAGTTTGAGTACTGCTGTTTGGATCAGGGAGTCCCTCAGAGAGGGACTCTTCTTGACCTTGCTTCTTATGTTTTTCCTGTCCTTTTTAATGGAGGTTTGATGGAAATAAACAAGATGAGAGCATCGATTAAGTACTCCACGCATTTTCAGCTTTTTTTTTCTTTAAGAAAAGACTTAAGACTGGAACGGTCCTAGGCCTGTGTCATGGGTTATATGTGTGTATTCAAAGCTTCCATGCTCTAATACTTCATTTCCTTTAATGTCTAGAAGGAATCAGAAAGTGCTGTAACCTATACACAGGGGAATGTTGTAATATTATCACAATAAATTACTTGGCAATGGGAAACACAGAACCAAAGAAAGCATGTAATCAGAACTATGCAGCAGGTTAATGAGAAAGCTGAGAATAAAAGTAGAGGTTAGAATCTCAGCTGGAGTAAACTGAGGTAATGAAACACCAGTGGATTATAATGTCAAATGGGAAGCTGATCACGTGTACTGAATTTGGGTGCTTTTCACTGAGAGGTGCCAGTATTTCCTGTTTGAGTATTGACCAGTCTGCCCAAAGGCATAAAATCACTCTCTCATCCTTACAACCTCTCTTTTGCAGGAGGAAGAGGGAAGGATGGGGCACCAATTATAACCTTTCCAGAATTTGCAGGATTCAGTGACATACCTGATGAAGATTTTCTGAACGTGGTCACATATCTAACCAGCATTCCCAGGTAAGGCTAAGTACAAGTGTCCATTGATTCCTCTGTGCCTGGCAAAATCTTGGAGCAGAGTCTCCTGGAAGGCATGCTAAGGCACATGAAAAACAGCAAGGTGCTTGGTGACAGCCAGCATGGCTTCACTAAGGGGAAATCCTGCCGGACCAATTTGGTGGCCTTCTATGATGGGGTTACAGAACTGATGGACAGGGGTAGAGCAGTGGATGTCATCTACCTGGACTTGTGCAAAGTGTTCGACACTGTCCCACACGACATCCTTGTCTCTAAATTGGAGTGACATCAATTTGATGGATGGACCACTCGGTGGATAAAGAACTGGCTGGATGGCTGCACACAAAGAGTTGTGGTCAATGGCTCAATGTCCAGCTGGAGACCAGTAACGAGTGGTGTCCCTCAGGGATCCATGTTGGGACCAGTCTTGTTCAACATCTTTGTCGCTGACATGAACAGTGGGATTGAGTGCGCCCTCAGCAAGTTTGCCGATGACACCAAGCTGTGTGGTTCTGTTGATACTCTGGAGGGAAGGAATGCCATCCAGAGGGACCTTGACACACTTGTGAGGTGGGCTGATGCCAACCTCATGAAGTTTAACCATGAGAAGTGCAAGGTCCTACACCTGGGTCGGAGCAATACCAGGCACGGCTACAGGCTGGGCAAAGAAGAGATTCAGAGCAGCCCTGTGGAGAAGGACTTGGGGGTGTTGATCAATGAGAAAATGATCATGAGCAGGCAGTGTGCGCTTGCAGCCCAGAAAGCCAACAGTATCCTGGGCTGCATCAAAAGGAGCGTGACCAGCAGGTTGAAGGAGGTGATCCTGCCCCTCTACTCTGCTCTTGTGAGACCTCACCTGGAGTATTGTGTGCAGTTCTGGTGTCCTCAACATAAAAGGGACATGGAACTGTTGGAACAAGTCCAGAGAAGGGCCACAAGGAAGATCACGGAACTGAAGCACCTCCCATATGAAGACAGGCTGAGGAAGTTGGGGCTGTTCATCCTGGGGAAGAGAAGGCTGCATGGAGACTTCATAGCAGCCTTCCAGTATCTGAAGGGGGCCACGCTGGGAATGGAGTCTTCATTAGGGACTGTAGTGCTAGGACAAGGGGTAACGGGTTAAAACTTAAACAGGGGAAGTTCAGATTGGATATAAGGAGGAAGTTCTTTCCTGTTAGGGTGATGAGCCACTGTAATGGGTTGCTCAAGGAAGTTGTGAATGCTCCATTCCTGGCAGTGTTCAAGGCCAGGTTGGACAAAGCCTTGTGTGACATGGTTTAGTGTGAGGTGTCCCTGCCCATGTCAGGGGGGTTGGAACTACATGATCTCAAGGCCCTTTCCAACCCTAACTATTCTCTGACTCTATGATTCTATGATTTCCTATAGAGCTTTGCTTCGTCAGTGGCTCACTGCTTTTAGTGTTGCTACCAGGATGCACCGGTGGTTCAGCACCCGTCCAGTCCATATGAAACTTTCCTAGGTACAGGAGGACCTAAGAACCACTTACACCATTTTCATGGGAAAGCAAGCTTTACATAGGCCAGGTTTTCTGTTCAGGGCTTGAACTGGATGCGAGGAGGTATAGATCGGAAAAGCAGCAGGAAAAATAGCAGATCAAAAAGGAGGTAAGGGGACATTTGTGAAAACTCTCAGAGGTGCTGGATGTAACAAGGGAAAAGTTGCATCTGGTAGGAGCCAAACTTACACAGGTTCTATTACTGTTTATTCTCTGAGTTCATCTTTCTGTGCAAGCTTGCTCTGAGAAAGCAAGCTAGGTGACCTGTTGACAGGATTCTGGCAAGCACCACGTGCTTTCTGATGCTCCATTTACTGGGAGTCTGCTCCACAGCTAGGATGTTTTCTTTGCTATTTGCTTGCAGCTGTGCAAGGATAATGAAACAAACTCACTTCCACTGCTCTGAGGAAATGCGCTAAGGCATGGATGCTGAATTACTTTTTGTTGATCCAAAAAAAGAGATTAATATTTTTTCAGTCCCCTGATCCTGTCTCTGGACCATGGCTGTTTGTGCTAGTTGGAAGCACAGCAGGGATTTACTATTTCCTGTGGTCTTGTGTATAAAGGTGCTTAGAGGATGATGAAGGGGAAAGTGTGCCTCCTTCAAGTTTGAGTAAGAGGTTTTCCCAGCTCCACCTACATGTATTCTCCATATTAAGTTGCCAAAGCAAGCTGAAAGAAACCTCATACTGTGACCTTAACAGCTTCATTGTTTCACTCTGCTCTGTAGGGTTTTTGTTCCGACAGGAGAAACTTCATTTTACCTATTTCTTCACTAGAGGCAGGACTGGGAGGATGATCAGCTTCAGGGTTAATAAAACAACAATAGCAGCTGAGAAAAGCACAAAGCTAGTTTTCCAGTTGTTTGTATTGGTATGCTGATGGGTGATTCCCAGTAATGTTGACACATGTTGGGGTGCTAGCATGTTGTCAGTGATAGGCAGAAATTCTTTATGCTGCTTCAGCCTGTGTGAAAGCCAAAAGTACAGATGGGTTCAAATGAAATTAAACTAATTAATGAAGGATAGTTCTGTCAGTGGCAGCTGAACTCAATGGCTCAGATGCAAACCCTAATTGAAGAAATTCATATATTCCTTAATGCTGGGACTTGGGAGAATATTCCAAGAGAAAGTTTGTTCTTCTCTCTTTTCCCCTTGCCTCAGTATCCACTACCTACCAAACACTGGAGACAAGAGTATTGGGCTAGATGGACCTTTGCTTTGATTCCGTTTACCAGTTTTGCATTTTCTTTTCCCCTGAGAAATCACAGAGCAATGTGCAAAAAATGTGCATTTCAAAGCTTTGTAACTCAGGAGAGCTGCAATATGCTTATTTTACAGGTGATGAGGTATGTGTAAGTAATATCTTGCATTACAGACAGGCTCACCAAAACTTGTGTTAAGTGACTATTCAGTTTGATATAAATGACCTGCTCAAGGTCAGAGACAGGCTGGGATTTGAACCTGCATTTTCTGCAGACCAGCACATTGGTTTGACACTTAGGTTTAATTATAGATCACAGTGTAGGGATGTGAGTTTTCCAGGGAGTTTGCTAGTATTCGTTACAGTGTTTTTAGAAAGATTGACTGCACTTATTGAGCCACTATTTGAAACTTGCCACCCTTCATGTGGATGGTGAGGGACAAAGGTAGTAATTTAGAAGAGGAAGAACCTGAGCAGCAAGCTTTGGCTGTGTGATTTATGACATAATTATATGAAGTACAGTCTTAATGTGGCATAAATGGAAGACCTGTTTGGTGCAGCAGAGCCTTGCTAATTTGCAATTGCTGGTCCATGCACCAAGAGTGTTTCTCATACCTCTCAGCAAATAGTAAAGGAACTGCTTTGTTACCTTCATTAACACTACTATAGTATATACTACTGTGTGTATTACAACAGCATTCCTGTACATGTTGTTTCACTGCTAGTAGTTCACCTTTTCTTTTGATTCTTAAAGAAGATGTGCAGATATCAAACAAAGTGACAAAGAGAAGAGAATAGTCTCTAACTCTTGTGGAGTTATGAAGGCTATGACTGTGAATCAGGTAAGATGAAGTATAGTTTTAAGAGCAGTTCACACTGTTTAGCATAGAAAATAATCCCTTCTTCATAGCTCAGTGAACCAGAGTAATCAGCACCATTTTTCAGTTAAAGGTAGAGAGAATATATTTTTTTTTTAGTGTCTGTTTCTGCATATCCTGTAGAATAAGGTTAATCTTAGTTGTGGAGATAAGATCTGTCACAAGATGACAAGATTCAGTTAGTAACTTTCTAAGTCCCTCTGGAATGATTGCTCTTATGTGCCCATATGACAAAACATTGGAAAGATAGGCAGCTTTCAAACATGAACTGCTCTCCAGGATAGAAGATCAGCCCAGTGAGATTTTTGTAATTGGATTAATTTTCTCTCTGGTTCAACACCTGCTCATGAGAGTGCTCCACCAAAGGAGTCTACATACATACACATTCACATTGAGTAGCATCAGTGTATGTACATGCATACCTCTGTGCATGCACGCATACGATGGATAGCTCCAGAAAGGCCTTTTTTACTTTCTTCATTCCATGGCCAGAATTCCCTTCTCTTACAACTGATGTGGATCAACTACTTTGTTAAACAAAAAGAGAGGTCAAAACAAAGAGAGAGATCAGGGAATTGGACGTCTCCTGGCTTCCCCAAATCAGTAATCAAGGGCCAACCTAAATCAGAGATATGACTGTAGAGATATTACAGTACAGACACTGAGAAAGTATTGATAGAGTGTGTGTGTTTGTTTTTAAAGAAACTCCCTTCTTCTGGATACACACAAGTGGGGTTTCTCAGCTGCACATCCACTTGCACTGAGGCTGCCATTGTGGCTACTTTTCCTCCCATGGCTGTTAGCTTGCATGTATTCCTTAGTGCCAAATGACATTCAGACCATGGTTTGGCCTTTTCTTTCAGCATGCTGACTGCTGCCATCAACCTGCGGCAGCAAAGATTTACTGCTGTGTATCTCTGGCTTGTTTGCTTCTTGCCTTTGTGTAGTCTGCCAGAGTGATTTTGAGTGATGTATATATTCTTCCACATTTTCTTCTGTGTTCTGCTTAGATGCTTTCCTTTTTAGCACCATGTGGTTTTCTCATCTTCTCCCCCCACTCTTTTCCTTCTTCTTTAAAATTCTGTAGTTTTTAAGTCTGTTCTCCAATTTCTTAACCATTTCTTCTCAGACAATGTAATAGGTTCAATGTTGTAAATTATATGTATTGTGATAGTACCTGAATTGTTTGCTTAATGGCCTGATTCTCATTTTACCCTGACAAATCTCTTTCAGATCTCATGTTTTGGCTTGTTTTTCATACTCTTCTGCAACTAGGATTGTTACCTGAACTGTTTGTGCAATAGTGTTCTGGCCTGTGCTTTCCCCTGCAGCGTCATATGCCAGGCAACACTTTTTGGCAAGTTTGGCAGCCAGGTCTTGGAGAGAAAGAGCTTACAGTAGCACTCCATCATAGGTAGACTGCACATTTAATGGTATTTTTTTCTTCTTCACTGTTTCCTCATATTTCAATTCAAATCATTATATAAGTACCTATTTCATCTTCCATTTCCTCAGTCTGTCTCTTTAACTGGCCTGCAACACTGGGATGTGCAGTGGCAACTGATAAGCAGTGTTCCTATTCCCATACATTCATTATTCTTAGCTCCCCCCACCCCCGTGACCACTCCTGCCAAGCCTAATTTCATGAGAAAATTCTTTTGTTGCTTCTCTCTTGCATTTTCTTGTTTCTGTCTGTATTTCATAAGCTCTTGTTCCTATTATCTATGAATGTAATTTTTCTTGATCCTCTGATGCCTGAATGCTTTTGTGGTATTACAAATCCCTGTGCAGAAGGACATCTGAAAAAAAATGAACTGCTCATGAACATGTACTTGAAAAAAAAGCAAAGGTCATTTTTAAGTGACTTCTGATATACATGTTTGAGGGACTTACTTTTAAAAATAGGATGTAAGAGCTGGTTCACATGCACAGAGGCACATTTTATTTGGGAGAAATACTTTTGTGTTTGTTTAAACACAGTTGTACTTGTTGCTTTTGGCAGATGCTGTCCTGTCAGTTACTTCCATTGCAGTTTGCTTACCAAAGTGTGATTATAATTATAAGGGTCTGATTCTGAATTCTTTTAGGCCTTCAATCCCCTGTGTACCCTGCTATTAGAAAGCCTGTAGACAGGTAGATGGGCAAAACAAGGCAATTTTTATGTGTAGGCAGCTTGTGTGAATATGGCACTTATGGATATAGTTACCTGTCGTTTAGCTACATCATAAATTTTGTCAAGAACAGATTTTCCTAATTTTTATTAACCTGACAGTAGTTGAATGATATATTTCCGTAGATCAACATCAGAATTTTGTTAGCTTCAGCTAACACACCTACTTATTGGGAATTATGTTATAAATCACTGTTTTCAGTGGTACTGCATTAGGTTTGAACCTGATTCTATGTAGCCAATTATTGTTCTAGATATTCAGCAGCTACAAACTGGTTGCACCAGTCTGGACTGTAAACATAGATGCTGATTCCAGTATATAGTCTCTGTTTCTCTGGACTAGACACCATATTTTGGTGACCAATTTGACCAAAATTATGAGTCTTACATTCCCATATTTCTGCTGCTTTAACATAGTTCTCAAAAATTAACATGGTGGTCAAAAATACATAAAACGTATTAGAGGCAGCCTTTTCCAAGGTCATCTGAAATATGTTACTGTTGAAATGAGAATTGCACTGACGTAGTTCCCCTTTCATGTCTCACCATTTTACTAGTAACTTTGATCTAAACAATAGACTAGTTTCAATAACACACTGTAAGCAACGTGGATGTTGATTTGTAACCCTGTTCTCTTGAAACAATTAGTCACAACAAGCAATTTTTTTTTTTATTTGTTCTGGTTAACCATATATTTGGACCAAATCCGGTTCCCAGCAAGAGTAAAGAAACCCAAGGGGGATGTATATCCTGTGATTACCCATTTCTCTGGTCATCTGAAGAACTGTGAATCCAAGAGCTAATCTCCACTTGTATGGGGCCAGAGCATGCTTGAGTCTGTGCTTTACCAAGAGGCCCATGAGGGTGCTGGGGTTGTTTTTGGGAGCACTGGATTGTGACAAGTGTTAGTATTATCAGCATCAACTGTTTACAAACTTTATTCTGGATTCATCAGAACTGGTGCATCATATATAGGAGAGTTTGTTAATAACACGTTTTGTTAATGAGTGTGATCCTCTCTTTTACAAGCCAGTTTTCTGTGGACTGGATGTCAGACTGTCCTGCGTTCAGCAGTAGCAGTCATGTTTCTCCTTCGTGGTCGCTGGTGCAGTGCTGTGTTTTGACTTCCAGCCTGGGAACAGTGCTGGTGATACCGATGTTTTCGGTTGTTGCTAAGTGATGTTTACCCTGACCAAGGACTTTGTGAGGCTCATGCTCTGCCAGGGAGGAGGGGAAGCTGTAAGGAAGCAGAGATGGGGTGCCTGACCCAGGCTAGCCAGGGAGGTATTCCATACCACAGCACGTCATGCCAGGGTGGGGGGTAACTGGGAGTTACCTGGAAGGACACGGGCTTCCAGGTGGGACTCGTTTCTTGGCCGGTGGTATCGTATTCTCTTCCCTTGTTATTTTCTCTTATCATTGTTGTCGTTGTTGGTAGCAGTGGTGATTTGTGTTGTACATTGGTTGCTGGACTGTTCTTGTCTCAACCTGTGGGAGTTGCACTCTTTTGATCCTCCTCCCTGTTCCTCCAGGAGCGGGGAAGGGGAGAGCTCCGGGGGGGGGGGGAAACTCGATTGCTCTCAGCCTGGTGGCACCACTCACTGGGAGTGAGTGAACAAGCTGTCTGGCTAGGGTTTAAACCACGACACAGACAGCAGCCAGTGTTGAATGGATGGCCTCCTGTTCCCTAGGCCAGGGAACTGGGTGCAATGCACCTCAGCCTGGTTTTTAGATTGTGTTTATTTGACAGCTTCTCAAAGGCTTTTTTGCCTTTTGGGGTGGTGGTGGTTGTATTAGTTGGAGGACTGGGGGCTTGTAGCTTCCAGTTTCATCTGTAGCAAACAGAATAACTGGGGCTGTTGCCACCAGGATTGGCAGACCAATGTGCCCAGGGTGGATGCAGCTCTGATGCTGAGGAGTGGGGGGTTCCAGCCTTTCAGCTGGAACTTCCTGGAGTGAGATGCTGTGCTGAGGTATTAAATAAGAATAGACAAGCAAAAAAGCACCCTTCCTGTCTCTTGTGACACCTAAACACATTTGTACCCTACAATTTCTAGCAGTTGTTTTCTTTCTATAGTTGTCTTAAACGTATCTTGGCACATCGTTAAACAAAAATATTTGGGTTTGTTGTTTTGTTTGTTTTTTTTTTTTGACATGTATTACACAAGCAAAGGAGGAAAATGATGCATGGTTTTGTGCTTGTTTTGATTTCCAAACTATCAGCAAGTTTACCACAACCTTCTCTGGTGATATAACCAGAATTCCTGGCACCAGTGCAGCAACATTGGTTGTCAAGGCAGAGGGAAAAAGCCTGCCTTCATCCTGTATGTCTCCATTAGGCAGGACAGGCACCCTGTCCACAGAGATACTACCTGGCGGTCTGGAGGCTGAGGCTGATTTGCCCAGGCTTTTCATGACTTTCAGCCTTTCAAAGCAATTTTTGGTCCCAGCACCAGAAGCAGTTTGATAAAACCAGTGCAGATTTTTGGGTACTTTAGGAAGCCCCCAGGTTGAGATTTTTGTGTTTAGTTTCTCACACCCTTTCTGTAACAGTCTGCAATACATACAATTTCTTTGCTGCCTTCATCTGAACAATTTTTTTTTCCCTAACAACTAGGGCAAATGCATAGATACCAAGCTGGCTATTTGTTTTCCTTGAAAGCTTTGTTGAACTATTGAAGGATATGTATATATTTGCATATATATATATATATCAGGAAAAATGAATTAATTACTTTCCCTGTTTGAGAGGCTCTGCTGCAAACACAATTTTTCTCCTCTAAAGAAAGAGCTGCATGTTGCATTACTTAAGAGGAAAGGTCATCTATTGTCATTGAATTTTGTTGCTCTCAGAGGAATGATGTAAAAATATTGAAGCGGAAAAATCAGTGAGTTTTCCTTTTCCAGTATGAACTATTAAGAACACTTGCATGGCAACTTGGATTTGCATAATACTTTGGCTTTCAGGTTGCTGTTCTTAATCCTGCAGAGCTACAGCAGAAGCTCAGTACTGCTAACGTTGGTGCTCTTTGTTGATTATTGACACAAGTTTGCACAAAATGACCCATGAAAATGGTGTTCCTGGGTTGCTTCTTGTATGGACAATGGAAAAGGGATCAAGGAAATGTTTTATACAATTTCTTCTGATTTAAATCTGCAATTGGGTGTTTGATTGCAGTATGTCCTTTGATTATGTAATTTATGCTCTTTCTGCCTGCCTCTGTTTTGTCCAGAGATGGCTGAGCCAATGTGCTATAATGACATTTCTGGAGGTTTTTTCTCTGTGCTTATAGCTTTCAAGGACTTCTCCCCAGCTCTGAGCACTCCTGGGAGGCATAGTAGAGCAGTCCCACTGAAGCCCTGTGCACCAAAGTGGGATTTTTGTGTGAGAGAGATAGAGAATGGGATATTTATGAGTCCTACATAGATGGGACAGAGCATCAAATCACTGCCTCATAGATCCTCCTTGAAAAGTACTGAGAAGGAACAGTAACTGTTATTCTAGCCAACATGTTAAAAGGATATTTGAATGACTTGCAACCTCAGAACCACTTTGTGGTTGGCAAGATAGAACTCTTCAATTCCTGCTTTGCCTACCAGAATTCCTGGGGCATTGTGTACACAAGCAAAGGGGAACAGTTGGGAATACAGGCTCCCTTGGAGCTAAGTGTCCCTGTCAGATATCAGCATACTTGGAGAATGAAGACTGAAGTGCGGTGTCCAATAACTTGCATTATTTTGCAGAGAAAACAAGATCTGAGGTTTTTGTCTTCAATACAGCACAGTGTAATTCATGATCCTGAACTATTTGTATCACCTAGTTTGGTAGCAGGGTAGCCTAGCAGCTGAGAGATTAAGCAGATAAAGTATTCATGTCTTGTGTAAGCTGCTAACCTCATGCTGGAAAGAGAAAATTTGTCGGCTTTTGTTTTCATGTGAATTCTGCCAAATATTCTTTCTACTCTACGTTGCATTTTCGTAATGGGCTTACAGGGTGATCTGACAGAGGCTGTGTTTTGCTGCAGTACACTTCCTTGGAATGGGAGTATCTCCATGTAACCCAGCATACTTGTTTCATCTGTTTTGCAGTCTGGAGGCTGCCAGCATCGGATTCATCATCATCATAGACAGACGACGGGACAAATGGAGCGCAGTCAAGGCATCCCTGACACGGATAGCAGTAAGTGCTTACTTTTGTTATTTTTCTTCTGGAAATGAAAATTATCTGTTGAACCTTCAGCACAGGATACAGTTTCATGTGCTCATTTTTAGCTCACATTTTCTGGCTGTGGATGCAGATTCTCCCCTGCCCTGAAGCTCTTGAATGTTAAAGAGGGAGAAAGGTGCAAAAACAAATTACACAGCCTTATTTACTGCTGAATTAAGACAAATTCCTTATTTGCTGGGTTGACTGCAATACAAATTCTAGTAATTTGAAGTTGGTTCCTAGAAGAGTATAACAGACGTACACTTCTGTGCACTGATGATGTGGCCTCCTTGTGAAAGAAACAGATCTCAAGGGGCTTCTGTTTGCGTGGTAGTAAGCGGTCTCTGTCAGAAACTCATAATAGCTTATTCTATCTTGTTTGCAAAAGTCCGAGCTAAGCACTGATTTTCAGTGCCAAAGAAAGCAGCTGGTTTTATACACCTATTACTAGGAATACGTGCTCTCAGAGCAAGCATGTATACACAGAAGTGTGACCAAGGCACCTTTAAGTTTTTTCAAGGAATTTAAACAGAATTACTTTTCATTCTCAGTTCTTTTTTAGCTGCCCTCTTCTAGAAATTGTTCTTTTTTTATGTTGATGAGCTCAGAGGAGTGCATGAGAGATGTAGGATGTTGTGTTGCAGACAGAGCCATGTCTGATGAATGTGTTGAGTGAGTGTGTGTGGGGAAGAATATGCGAGGCTAAAAATATTAAAAAGCTGTTCCAGAAGGAAAAGGTAGGTCAGCCTGGGGTATTCCTCTGCGCCACCCCTTTCTTTCACCAAGTCCAACGTTGGTAGCCAGTTTTGCCCTCTAGTGGCGGCAGCCTCGGAAACGGGAAAACCTGCGGCGTGGTAGCGCAAAGGGGGCTTGGTGTGGTTCAGATCTCGGGGAGGAAGGTGCTAGTGACGAAACTTTAGAGCTCTCTGCTAAATCCATATAAGAAAACAATGCATGGCTGGGCAGTAAAAAAGGGCCAGTCTTTCTATCAGCTTTGGAAATTGTGACAATGGGCACATACTGAATGGACCAGCTGATACTATTAGCAGCTGGACTGAGCAAGGTTCAGTAAGTCCTACATGCTTTGCCCTCTTTGGGAAACATTTGGCTGAAAATTCCCGTGGCCTTCCTGTAAGGCAGAGTTAAGCCTTCTAATAGTTCCATGTTTCTTGCAGGGAGCATTTCCAGGAAACCTGCAGCTAGTGTTTGTCCTGAGACCTTCCCGCTTTATCCAAAGGGCAATCGCTGACATTGGCATTAAACTCTATCGAGATGACTTTAAAATGAAGGTACCGGTAAGCATGCATTTTTTGCCTGTGTGTTTTCTTTATCTCCGTGTTTGCAGTTATCAAGTGTCACCAATTTCTCATAACACAGTAAATGAAATTTTATTGTATGTGGCAACTGGGGACTTTTATCTGGGTCTGTGTGGTTTGTATAATAGTAATGTTAAAGGGTTGATTACCAGTGGATGCTTCACAGTATTTAATGGACATGCTTCTATGTCAGTCTAGCTATAAAATGTGATTTGTTTTTTAAGTATTGACATATAAGTCCATTGGAGCCATTCCCCTGATGTAGGTAGAGGTAGATCTTCTCACTTTGGTGACAAACATAACTATTCAGTACTACAGAGCAGTGGAAGGCTAGGGCTGAATTCTGCACTATTTTATGTATTATCCACGGGACTGCTGACAGTGCCTTGTTAAATGCTTGCATAGCATTGTCTGTTCTTAAAGCCTTTGATCCCCATGCCCTCAAGATTCAAAGTCTGGTTTTTACTTTTTTTTATATACACTTGGCATATGCTGTAAGTCAGCATTCCTGAAAGAGTTTAAGTTTTAGATTATTCTAAGAGAGCTCTTTAGGGAGCTGTTCATAGCTGCATGTTTGCATGTGGTTTCAAAGTGGCTTATAAACAAACTTGAATTATGATTATTGATGGTATTTCATCCTGGACCAGATTCATACTGTGTTCCACAATGACTTTACTGGAATAATTTCATATGATTGTTTTGGATTTTGCTTGTGGTTTTATACAGTTTTGCAAAAGATCTGTGGCTCTCCTACAACAGATTCTAGCTCTGTCAATACCTAAGTTTGAAGATCAGGTGTTTAAAATACTTTGTGCTTCTTCTGAAGTAAGAGAGAGCAGCCAGTTTATTACAATGCATACAGAAAAGGAACCACAAATATCCATTTGATTATTGTGGATTAAACTGTAATGTTGACTGTAGTTTGTCAAGGGTTACTTTTTGGTAATTGAAATGCAAAATTGATGTAAAAATACATGTTTGGCTACAAAACAAAATCTTTCCATTTTATAGCACCTTAAAAACTGGATGTTCCTGTATTTAATAAGCCACAATCTGTTGCTATAGCAACTGTTGTACCAGCAACTGCGGCCGAGGAAGGGACAACTTCACCAAGAATTAGCATTTTCTAACAATTCAGCATTTTCTATACTTTTAGCAATTTATTTGATGACAATGTTGAATTTCAAATTCAACTTGAAACTATGGGGGAAAATGGATGACCCAGGGGAATTACAGACCAGTCAGTCTCACCTCTGTGCCTGGCAAAATCTTGGAGCAGATTCTCCTGGAAGGCATGCTAAGGCACATGAAAATCAACAAGGTGCTTGGTGACAGCCAGCATGGCTTCACTAAGGGGAAATCCTGCCTGACCAGTTTGGTGGCCTTCTATGATGGGGCTACGGAACTGATGGACAGGGGTAGAGCAGTTGATGTCATCTATCTGGACTTGTGCAAAGTGTTCGACACTGTCCCACACGACATCCTTGTCCCTAAATTGGAGAGACATCAACTTGATGGATGGACCACTCGGTGGATAAAGAACTGGCTGGATGGCTGCATGCAAAGAGTTGTGGTCAATGGCTCAATGTCCAGCTGGAGACCAGTAACGAGTGGTGTCCCTCAGGGATCCATGTTGGGACCAGTCTTGTTTAACATCTTTGTCGCTGACATGAACAGTGGGATTGAGTGCGCCCTCAGCAAGTTTGTCGATGACACCAAGCTGTGTGTTTCGGTTGATACTCTGGAGGGAAGGAATGCCATCCAGAGGGACCTCGACACACTTGTGAGGTGGGCAGATGCCAACCTCATGAAGTTTAACCATGACAAGTGCAAGGTCCTACACCTGGGTCGGAGCAATCCCAGGCACAGCTACAGGTTGGGCAGAGAAGAGATTCAGAGCAGCCCTGTGGAGAAAGACCTGGGGATGTTGATCAATGAGAAAATGATCATGAGCCGGCAGTGTGTGCTCGCAGCCCAGAAAGCCAACGTATCCTGGGCTGCATCAAAAGGAGCGTGACCAGCAGGTTGAAGGAGGTGATCCTGCCGCTCTACTCTGCTCTCCTGAGACCTCACCTGGAGTATTGTGTGCAGTTCTGGTGTCCTCAACATAAAAAGGACATGGAACTGTTGGAACAAGTCCAGAGGAGGGCCACGAGGATGATCAGGGGACTGGAGCACCTCCCATATGAGGACAGGCTGAGGAAGTTGGGGCTGTTCAGCCTGGAGAAGAGAAGGCTGCGTGGAGACCTCATAGCAGCCTTCCAGTATCTGAAGGGGGCCTATAGGGATGCTGGGGAGGGACTCTTCATTAGGGACTGTAGTGCTAGGACAAGGGGTAACGGGTTAAAACTTAAACAGGGGAAGTTCAGATTGGATATAAGGAGGAAATTCTTTCCTGTTAGGGTGGTGAAGCACTGGAATAGGTTGCCCAGGGGGTTGTGAATGCTCCATTCCTGGCAGTGTTCAAGACCAGGTTGGACAAGGCCTCGGGTGATATGGTTTAGTGTGAGGTGTCCCTGCCCATATCAGGGGTGTTGAAACTAGATGATCTTAAGGTCCTTTCCAACCCTAACTATTCTATGATTCTATGGAAGTTGGAAAGGAGGTTAATTCTGGGCAGGGATCAAGCACTGCAGTAAGTATTAAATAGTAACTCATCTTTCTTATGGGCAGGAAAATCAAGATATGAGGATACTTTGGGATTGTCTTGGCCATTCAGATTTTGAGCCATATTGGGTTTGTCCACAGAGCTATTAGGGCAGTCTTTCAAAACTAAGAGAATGGTATGTTTGTTGCTAGATCTGCCTGCCTCCTGCACAGATAGCTGTAGACAGTCTTCAGATTTATATACATGCTGTCCACATATGCCTGATGCTATCATAAATTGCTTAGGATTGTGCTAAAGGTGTCTTAAGTTCTTGGGGTCTGTCATGATCTGTGGATGGGGCTTTCACCTGTGTTTGCAGCTCATCCTAAAAAGACAATGCCAACACAGGCATACCTCTGTGTTACCCCAGTTTCAGATGCGATTTGTTACTGAGAGTGACATCTCTCCGTCCTCCTTCAAATTTGCATCCTACATGCCAAGCATGAGAAGAGGGCCAGAGAATTCTCATCCCATTGGAGATATTCTTACTCAAGCAATTAGGTGTCAGTACCTATCTTTAATACTACAATCAACTTTTAGATTGTTTGCAGGTGTTTGTTCATGTTCTGCATTTGGCACTATGACAACATAAATGTCGTAACTGGGCTGTGGATGAGTTGCATTTCCTATCACAGTAAGTGAGTCAGGGCCAGGATGTAAGCATTTGAAAAGGGGCTTCAATAATATGGTGTGCATTTGTTAAGGAAACATTTGTTAAATAGTTTATCTGAACTATCAGACTGCAAATATATTCAGTAAAGTAGATTTGCTGGGTTAAATCAACACTGAATTGACTAGAAGCCAGAAGGTCAAACAAGAACAGGAAATAAAGGCTGAAATAGTAAACCAGGCACATTAAGGAAATGCAGGATTTATATGACTTATTGACATACAAATGTGGTTAATAAAACCCCCTGAGATAAACCTCTATTGGGATAGTGATTTGGTTAAATATCATTACCCAAGAGCACGGTACAGAAATACAGGAGATACACTGGGGTTCATCTGAGATACAATCTGGAAATTTAAAAGGGACACCCAGAGATTTACCTAAGGAGCCTCCCCTTCTGGGAAGTGAGTTAAACCAGCTTTATAGTGTACACAAAAAGCTGAATGATCTGTCCATAGCAAACACTTCTTTGATCTTTGTAGGCTGTGACTTCTTTCAGATGGCCTAACCCGTCACAAAGCAACCCCACGATAGCTCTGTGTCCTGTGCTGGCCTGCCTATGCAGGCCCTCCTCTTCCAAACTGCTACTCTCTTGTATGCTATAGCTTACTGAATGTGGATGTATTCAGTATGGCAAGAAGTGGAAGATGCTAAGCCTCTGTAAGACTGGTTTCTTAGGTGGATGTTGGATTGCTCCTAGGTTTCCTCCTGCAGAGATGCCTGCAGGGCAAAGTCTTGTGCCCTGTCAGGTAGCACCACAGCTGTTGTGCTTTATGGCTCATGCTGAGCATACTGGCTTAAAGCAAACATCTTCCTAAAAGAAAAGCCCAGGGAAGTTGTGAATGCCCCATCCTTTCAAGGCCACACTGGACAGGGCTTTGCGCAACTTGGTCTAGTGGAATATAGCCCTGCCCATGGCAGAGGGTTGGAACTAGATCATAGTTAAGGTCTCTTCCAAACCCAAACCATTCTGAGATTCTATGACAGTGTTCTTCTGTAGTTTCAGTGAACTTTGGATTATCAAGAGATTTCCAATTTGTCAGCAACATCTCTGATGAGGAAGAGTTACAGGGCAGTTAAGACCTACTTTCTTAAAGATAATTTGCAGTTCAGAAGTAGTGCATAGACTGCATGTTCCAATCTGAGGCTACTCCAAGATTATGTGGTTTTTTGATTTTTCTTGATTATAACAAAACAGTGTTTGGTAACGCATTCATGGAATACTTTTCCCTTTTAGCTTTCACTCAGATACTCTGTGCTTTCTTTGCCTCAGTTTCTTTACCAACAAGGTCTCCTGGCCTCTGTATTTAGCAGCTGGGTTCAAGGTGAAGATGAACTGCTGGAAGTAAAGAGCTACTGAGTTAAGGACTACTTGAGAATATTCAACCCATACAGGTTCATGAGACCAGATGCATCTCCCACAATATTCTTGTATCCAAGTTAGGATGCTAAAGTCTGGATGGGTGGACAACTAGATGGATTTAAAAACTAGTTGCATGATTGGTCTCAGAGGGTAATGGTTAATGGGTCATACTCTACCTGGAGGTTGGCAACAAGTGGAATGATGTAGTCATATCTGCTATTTAACATCTTTATCAATGATGTGGAAGAGGCAACATGGTGCGCTGTCATCAAGTTTGCAGATGACACTAAACTGGGGAGCAGTGGGTACACTGAAAAACAGAGCCACTGGGATGTAAGCTCAAGGAATGGCCTGACGAGTATATTATGAAGTAAATAAGGGACAAATACAAAGTTCTGCAACTGGGAAGGACTTTCTTCCTCAATAAGGAAGAGCCCATGTTCCTCTGTCCCAACAACAAACAGTGTTGTATTGTTGGCAGCAACACAGGATGTAGCCTGACTGTCCAGGGAGCAGCTCTGCTGACAAGGACCTGAGAACCTGGTAGACGGAAAGTCATACATGAGCCAGCAGTGTGCACTGACAACAAAGGAAACTGTCTGCATCCCACATTCACAGCAACATTACTGACAGGAGCATAGCCAGCAGATTGAGACAAGTGATTATCCTGCTTTATTTGGTTCTTATTAGACTGCATTGAGAATACCCTCTCCAGTTTTGGTTACCCCAGTACAAGAAAAATATTAATCTAAAGTGAGGTCAACAGAAAGCCAACAACAAGGTCAGGGCTTGGAGCATGTGCTCTACAAGGAGATGCTGAGGCAACTGGGCTTATCTAGCCTGGAGAAGGAGAAGCTTGGGAGGGTTAATGCAACATACCAGCAGCTTTCCAGTTTCTCCAAGTATGCAGCCAAGTTGTGCATGACCGTAGGAGAAAAGATAACTGACACAAAGTGAAACAAGGGCAGCTCTGATTTAAGGAAAAACTTTTTCAACACAAAGGTAATCAGGCAGTGGACCAGACTGCTCAAAGAGGTTGGACAGTCTCAGTCCTTGGAGGCTTCCGGAACACCCTGAACAACCTGGTTTGATCTCAGCTGACCCATCTTTGAGAAAGAAGTTGGACTAGAGACCTGAAGTTCCTGCCAACCTAAATTATTCTAGTATGATTCTGTAATAATGATCAACTAAAAACCTATTCAGGTTTGTTCTCAAGGCTTTTCTTAGAGCATTGTCAACCTAGAATCATACATCTTCTTGCCTCCACATATCTGTGCTCATCTCATTGCCCACAGAGCTTGCAAGTGTGCTTACCATTCTCCCTTGGAGCTGCTAACATGCATAGTCAGTTAGAGTGAAGTAATACATTTGACATATATTAAAGCGTAAGGCTTAACATTTCTAGTAATTTTTTGCTCAAAATCTTATTTTCTGTGGCTGAAATCATGGTGTATTTTCTAGATGTTAGACAAGGCATAATTAAAGTGTTTGCCAAAGGTAATACTGCTTACCCAAAACTGAATGCAAATCTAGTTTTGCTTTCATTAAGCAGGTCTAGTGGTAAGGAGACTCTTTAAACTAAGAAAACTTGTTTAGGTTTGTCTCCCATTTCTCTTTTATTATGGTTTAAAATGGAATAATGCAGTGCACTCAGTGGACATAGAGTGCCATAAAAATGATACAGCTGAAAGGAAAATCTTAATCTCTCTGGTCTCATTTCAGCACTTCTTTGGGTCAAGTGGTTGGTGTTGAGGGAGCTCTTTAACCTGTTTGCTCCATGATTTCTCTGTAAATAAGTTACCTAGAAAATACAAAAACTATTTCATGGAAGTTTGTGAGAACATTATAAACACTATACTTTTGCTTTTGATGTACATGCAGAATGATTGCATCTTCAGCCTAGCAAGGAGCAAGATGATGCCAAATTATGGTTAGTTCAAGAATAGCCATATGCATGTTGTGATGAAAATCTAGTGAAAATAAACCATCCATTGCATGAATAAATACATAATGGGAACCTACTGGCTATGGTGGAACTACAGTTTGGTCATATGTTTAAGGCAAACCCAGAGCCCAGGAACAATGATTGAAAGGGTTTGTTATTTCTCTCAGTCCATTGTGTCTGGATTTGTTTCAGATCATCATGTTAAATTCTGTCTCTGATCTGCATGGCTATATTGACAAAAGTCAGCTGACCCGGGAGCTGGGAGGAACCCTGGAGTATGGTCACAGTCAGTGGATACATCACCGAACTGTGAGTATTGGCATTCTTACACACATCTACACCCAAAATTGTCCAGATGATGAATGCAGAGCAACTACTAAGTAGTAACTGTTCAGCTGCATTTCAACCTACGGATTCTCCTAGGGACTCATGGAAAGAGGAAATCCATGACTTAAGTAGAGAAAGGTAAGTTCCCCAAATGTGTTTAACAGAAGTAGTGATCTGTATCTCACTGCTGACCTGGACTATGGCCTTACTCAGCAAGGCTCTTTGGCACATTCCTATCTTTAGAGTAATTGATGACATTCATAGGCCTTTAGTTCATGGTTGAAGTTGAACATAATTTTTAGCACTTTACTGAATCAAAGGTCAAAATTCTCACTTTAATGTTTAATTATGTCCATGGCTTTAAGAGAAGAAAAATACAACACTTGATTTTATTTCTTTGGTTTTATTTCTGTGCTATGTAAACTTGTAGTCCAGCTGTGTGTTACTTTGAGCAGTGGAAGGCAGTTAATTGTAGGAAGGCAGAAAACCTTTTTATTATATTGCCTTTGAGGAAACTTGTTACAGGGTTGATTATTCGCTTTTTGGATTGGTTAATGCATTTCAGTGGCTGCTTCAAAAAAATGAAAACAATTCCTTATGGCACCAAGAAAAGGTAACACTTTACAAAAACCAGACCCCAAGCCATGGAAGATTAGCAGCATAGATATTTTCTCATCCTATCTAAGTAAACATATGCAAAGGTGGGTTCTGATCCTGGAAAATTAATTCATTTCCCAAAGACTGAATGCAGAATCTATGGGTCTGCTTGCAAGGGTGATATGTTAGAACTCATACCTAAGTAGCCCCAAGGTTTTGCAGTGTTCTGAGCAATCTTGGGTTTTAGTCTTTTGTTGCTGACACACGTTAGATCTAACAATTGGAAAAAGAGATTTTCTGAGGTAGCTTTGTTAAGTCAAGTCAGTTTTGTCACTTTCGTCACTTCCCTGTTATCACTTTCTGTGCTTTACTGTCCTTATGAAATTAAATTTTACTATCCTAGAGAACCACCAAATATTTCAAGCTTTTAAATATGCAAACACAGAATCTGAATTTCCTCTAACACTGGTCTGAACACATTCATAGCTGTGTTGACTACGCTGAGGTTAGAATTGAGATATATGAAAGGCTTACATGTTAAAAGTATCAAAAATATGCAACTGTCCTTGTAGGAGGGGTAAGTCTGAAGGAGTCATCTATATGAGCTCTCAAACAGCTAAAGGCTTGAAAAAATGAGGAAGGGGAGTAAAAAGAGGTACAAGAAAGGCTGTACTGTTTATTAATGACAGGCTTTTACAGAAAGCATGAATATGTAGTTTTGGAAAATATGCAGATAAAAATGAGCCAAGATTTGAGGTGACGTTGAAGTGAAGAGGTGACGTAGTCCCCAGATCTTTTGGTTAAATTTGTTTGAAAAACTTTTACCAAGCATAAAGACCTGGGGAAAGAAAACAAACCCACAGATGTAACCTAGGTATATGAAATAATTTATTACTCATACACACGGGAGAGGGTGGAGGCAAGCATGCTATTAACTGAAACACTGATAAGCTCATGATGCAGGCAGCCAAGGAATTTCTGCTGGGTAAGAAGTTGTCATCAGGGCAATGTCAACCCCGATGGCATCTTGAAACAACCCAACTTTCAGTCTTGCCGAGTTACAGTCTTCATGCCTTTTGCTGCTCCTCTTACTGTTCTCATGTGTTGTCCTGCCAGTGCTTATTTTCTGAAACAGCTTTAAACTGTTGCTAAATGATAGTGAAACAGCAATCTCACTTTGTAGCTCTTTGTTTCTGCTTTCTTATCTTGAATAGCTGGGAGCCTATGAGCTTTCTTGCTCACAAAGTACTTTTCTGGCTGTTAGTAAACGGCCTTTGGTCGTGGATGGCTCTATCTGTGCTGCAGTCAGAAGTGTGACATTTCAGCCAACTTTAATCCAGTAGTTTCAGTGATGAGAACAGCAGGCTACAGCTGCAAAGGTCTGTACTGCTTATGTTGAAAGCAAGCAAGAATTTATGGGAAAAAAAGGGAAGGTTAAGAACTCTGCTAGCATTGACTCATCTGGGTCATGTTTCAGATCACATATGTGGAATGTAATTTCTCTCTGCGTCTTTTGAATGATGATCCACCTCTAGTTTGTTTTTCACTGAGCACGCAGCATGGTTTTAACTGTTGTGGTTGCAAATGGGGAATTCCCATCATTGCTGGAGAAGGGAATGCAACTTGCAATAACTATGTAGTGCCTGACTGGGTATAAAAGTATTCCTAGTGCTGTTGACTGATTCAAGCCATTGAGTGGGTTAGATCAGAAAGTGTTAAGAATAAAATATTGTTTTTCTAAACAAAACAATGCAGTCCCTAAAAAAGGCAGCATTGTATATAAGCCTTTCTCACCTCCCCTTTCTTCAGGAAAACCAAAGTTTTCTGACAAGTTATGTGTTGATGCACCAAAGATATAAAGAAATAGCAATGCTCCAATGAATTTATGTATTTATACTGTATTTGCAGTGAGTCATTCTTGTATTTGTGTACTAATATGAACAGATGGGAGGGAGTGACTGGCGTGCATCTAGTACAGATAGGCAGGATGAAGATGCACATTTTCGAAAGCCAGGGGGAAGACAGATTGCTGCTGGGTGAATAATGGCTGTGTAAATATAAATGTAAAAGGGCTTTGCTCTAAATACTTTCAGAGTCCCCTCAACTTAAATAAAGCCTTCATTAATATTTTAAACACAGTAAAGTTTCCCAGCAAGCATGGGCAGAGGGTCTGAAGTCCTGACTTTGAAGTTGATGTCCTCTGTGGTTTCATTATGTCTGCTAAGCTCTGGGAGTTCCCCAGCTGGTTCATGGAAATGACAATACTTATAGGCCTAAGAAAAGATAATTTGCGACACAGGGATTTATTTTGTCACTTTTAGCGTATCTGTCCAACGAAAGGCAACATGGCCAGGTTTACAGGCATGTAATACTTGCAGCACAGTATGCCTGAAGGACTAAGCATTGTTACAGGGCTAAGGGGAAATAACCAGTCTGTAACTTTATGCTTTTGCTTTTCCAGGCTATTGAAAACTTTGCAATGACAGTAAAAACAACAGCACAGATGCTACAGACTTTTGGAACAGACCTAGCAGAGACTGAACTTCCCAATGATGTGCAGTGCACAGAGGAGCTCCTCTCTGCACACACTGACCACCACAGCAAGCTGAAGGTGAATATTGTCTCAAGACAGCACCATCAGTTCAATATATGATTTTTGATTGAACAAAATTTTCTGCCCTCATTTGGGATTCCATTGTCTGGAAATTACAGAAGAGGACAGAAACCTGGATTTGGGAGGCTGATTTGATTGAACTATGAAAAAGGACTTTTGCAGCTTCAGGAATAATAGAACAGGGAAATGTCACTTCTGTATGAGAGAGTGTTATAGGGTCACATCTGGAATAGCATGGGATCCTGATGAAGAGTTCATCAGAAAGGATGAATTCACACTAGACTAGATTTAAGGATAATCCAGAAAGAGACAGAATGATCTAACTAGATGATGACTTGTTTTGTTTTTCAAAACAAGTTGGGTCAAGTTTAGCTTTGTAGAGTAAGGCTCAGAAGAAAACATTACTGCTGTCAAGAAATACCTTAAGTTAAATGCAAGAGAAAAAATACTACTTAAGCTATATTAGCACAAGTTTCACACAAGAAGCATGCAGTGATGTGGGGACTCCTTAGCTGACATGTTAATGTTTGAGATTCATTGTCCTTTTTGTTGTTCATGTTTCATGCTTGGAAGACCCCTCCTTCTGTGGATGACTCCTTGATGGTTGACATACTGTGTCTCAGCTTGTCACAGTGTTGTTTAAGGAAATTCCATTAAGAAGTGCTATGTCTCAGTACAGTCCTTCAGGTCACTGAACGATCTGCAGCACACATTCAGTTTGTAGAATAATTTATTTTGCAAGTTGCCAGGTCAGAAATGCAATCTTCTCAGAAGTTATATATTATTCCTTTTCTTATAAATATATCTATCATTCAATGTGAATAGATTTAGTCTCTATGTTTCTAGAAAAAATGTCATCTTTAGTAAGCATTTCTATTTTGTTCAAAGTATTTAACAACCTATGAAAGAACCTTCCTTTAGCATAACTATGTTGTACACCTGAGAGATGTGAGCATTGATACAGTAAATACATACAATTTGTTTGGCTTGTTCTTTCCCCTCAGGATGAGCTGAAACTAGCTGTGAAGCAGGGAGCCACCCTACTAACATGCATTAGGGAGCCAGTCACCCGAAGCGCCAACTGCAAACTCAGTTCAGATGAACTGGAAAATGTCGCAACAGTAGAAAGGTCAGTGAAGCTAGATTACCTTGTGCAAGTCGCTAATTTATGTGTAAGAATGCAAGTGTAACTTAAATGATTTAAATATGCAGGTGAGAAATTCCCAGTGGTTAAGCTGTTCAGGATATATTTGATAAGTCATTCAGAGAAGGGAATAGCTTTGAGGAAGTTACCTAATTAAACTGTCAAGGCAAGTTCAAACCAGTCCTGATTGTCTTCGTAAATTTTGGTTGGACCACTTACTACCTGGCTGAAGATCTGATGTGAGACTTACTTTCCCTGTAGCATATCCATCTTCCAAATTCCTATGCCTGGTTAGAAAGTGGCATCTGAATCTATGTAAGATGAGAGGGTATATGCTTGTGCATGTCTGTGAAAACACTTGGGGAAGGACAGATGAAGGTGATACTCTGAAGCATTCCTCTTCATAGCTGCACGAGAGAGAGAAACCCCTATTCTTTCCTGCAATACTAGTTATTACCATAAAGCTTTTAGTCACCATGTAGAAGTTTCTGCTGTGCCATGTGATGCAGCGGAAAGAGAAATGCTGTGCCAGTGTTTCAGTGCGTTTGCATTCGCTGGGAACAAAGCAGCCAAAAGTAAAGCTGAGCTGATATTTTTCACTGAATACTTTGAAATCTTTTAAACAGTCATCCCAAAGGAATTTGCGAATTCATCTTGAATTCAGCAACTACCTATGATTAAAAACATGTTTTTCAGGGACAGAATGGAAACAGGACTTCGTTTTTGTGAGGAATAAGAGGGAGCTATTAGTGTTTATCCCAATATGATGATTGCAGTACTCACTGAGCTTGTAGGAGATCAGGCCTGCTCCCTTGCCTGCCCAAAGAGCACCCACCTATTGAAATATAGTATCTTCAGAAAAGACTTATTTTCTTCCCTTTTCCTTTTCCTTTTCCTTTCCTCCATTTAAATTGTTCTACTTTGTAGTACAATTAATAGATCATTGAAAGTCTGTGAGGATGATTCACTAGTCTGGTGTCAGACATTTTACTCAAGATGTATGATGCCTTGATACTAATTTCTTTGTGAATAAATGTTCCACCATTTACACAAAGTGAAACAATATCCATGAGAGGCATTATGAGCTTCTAATCTATTGTTTTGAATTGACTGGGAAAATTATTCAGTCTTTGCCTATTTCTGATGGGTGAAGAAAATGAACAAATTGTAGAGTTCTGCTTTAAACATTCCTTAAAACAATAATTGCATCATATTCAGTCTTCAGTAGTCTGGGGTGAATTACGGTTGAAGAACTGGGTGCAAGCTAAAGAGAGACAGCTGCCTTTGGCTGCCGGCATGTGCAACAACTCTGTGTTCCTATTGCAGGTCAGGAGGCAGGACTGCAACTGCCACACTGCAACCATGTAGTTGTCACTCTTCAGCTACACTCCTGCCTGTCCCACTGCAAATTTCATTCTCTTTTGTTAACGGGAAAGTTGACATAGAGCCTTCTTACATTATAGGCTCCCCACCATCTTCCTACTCTGCTTTCTGCCATCAGTTGGTGTAACTGAAAAGAAATGAACTATAGAAAATAAATAAATTCTTTTAATTCTGATTTCTTAACAGGTTATTAGCTCAGTTGGATGAAACAGAAAAGGCTTTTGATCAATTTTGGACCAAGCATCACCTAAAACTAGAACAATGCCTGCAGCTGCGACACTTTGAACATGATTTTAGAGAGGTATTTCATTTGCTCATTTTGTCTCTCCTTCCCTTATAAGATCAAATTTTACTCATACTTGAAGTATACTGGCAATAAAAAAAAGGAGATTGCAAGATAAGCCCTTCATTGTGAAACAGGGAATGGATATTCAAAAATTAAATTCTTGACAGCTATCAGATTCTTACAACATTTGGAAAAGGTGCAGTGAGGAAAGTCCCTCTTTAGCCAATGTGTGAAACACCAACTTCTCAATAAATCATTTTGCATTTATGTGTGACGTTACCAAATATCACTTCTGTGGTGGTAAATCCAATCCCACCAGAGTCATTGCAATACAGTTCAGGAAGCCCAACTGCCAGCCCAGAGGCTGAATTAATGCAGACTCTGGAATATTATAGACTTCGGAGTCACAGGTCTTCAAAACTATGTGGGCCTAAATAGTGAGAAGCAGGGCAAGTCTTTGAGGAACAGTTGAATGCTGCTTTATTCCTTGGCTTTTCCATTTTGGAACAAGCTGAAAGACTAACCTTGATATGCAGGAACAAACTGAAAGAATAAATTTGATACGCAGACTCTTCTAAAAGATGTAGGTGAATGTTTAGGAGACATAAGTTTGCTATAAGTTTATGAGTATCTTGTGATAAGATTTTCAGTGGGTGTTTTTTGTTGGATTTGTCTGTTTGTTTGGGGTAGTTTTGTTTGTTTTATTTTTATTGCTGCTGTTGTTTTTTTAGGTAAAATTGGTGTTGGATAATCTCATGGAAGCACAAGCAGGTTTTGCTGACATTGGAGACAGTGTGACTAGAGTGGAGCACCTCCTAAGGGAACAGAAACAACTGGAAGAGAAAGGACAGGTTTGCACTCGATATAGTATTCTACCTGCATAGGACATTATCTTCTAGGCACCTCTCTGTCACTTTCCTTGCTTCATGCTTGCTTTCTTCTCATGAGTCATTATTTTAAATTGGAAAACTCAGGTACTAATTTCCAGCAGCCAGAGTTGTTCAGACCCAGTAGTTCCAGTGCATTTCTTGGAAAGCTAGAATGCAGTTAAAAAATTGTTATTTCAAAGATGGAAAGGTTAGGGCCATCTTTGCAATCTGAAAAGCTCAGAACACTTAACAGGTTACCTTGGTCAGACTTCTAAGAGCATTCTATTCAGACTCACAACAGTTTGAGGAACACCTATGCCTTCCAATAAACACCTTTTCCAGACATTTGGACTTTGTAATGCCATCAGCTGGTTAGCCGTGATATACATCATATTTAGTATTATAAGAAAGCATTGAAAAAAATGTCTAAGTTAAATTAGAGGAGGATGCACGTGAACAAATGAAAAAGCTGGTGATCATCGTTTTAAAGAACAGGGTTAAGATTTAGAAATATTGTGATCTTTGCACAGCTCTTCTGTAGAAGCGTAAAGGAAGAAAAGTTAGTAACATGCATCTTCCTTTCACTGACCATGTCACATAATGTATTGATGTATGCTCTGTTCCTGTTAGCCATCTCTAATTTCATCCTACTGTGATTAAGCTTATGAACTGCACTCTGAAGAGTTTTCCAAAGTATATCTTGAAATGAAAAAGCATTATAAACCAGCAATTAGTAAGTAAAATAATACAGGGGGTTTTATTATTGGGAACTTTGTAGGGAAAAAAAATTGTATAATGAATGTCCCCAGTACATGAGAAAGAAGGTGGCATAGAATCACAGTTATCACAGAATAATTAAGGATGGAAGAGACTTCTGGAGGTCATTTTGTTCAACACTCCTGCTCAAGCATGGCTGCCTAGAGCAGGGTTCTCAAGAGGGCAGGTTGTTCAGATGGTTTTTTAATATCTTCAAGGAGGAAGAGTCCACAACCTCTTCGGGCAACTTGTTCCAGTGCTTGGTCATCGTCACAGTAAAAAAAGTGTTTCCTGATATTCAGATGGAACCTCTTGAGTTTCAATATACCCACTGACAACAAAGTTGATAAGTATAAAGTAAGACATATCAGCTGCATTAATATCCCAGTCCTTTACATCCAGGCTACAGCAGGGGTTACGGAGATGGAATGACTTTTTTATGCATGTAATTTTGACATCTAACTTTGGATTTTTTTTTCTCATTAACTTGCCAGGAACCTTTGGAAAAGGCCCAATCTCTAGCTCTCCATGGAGAACAGCTTATCCAAAACAACCATTATGCAGTTGACTCTATTAGACCAAAGTGTGTTGAACTCAGGCGTATTTGTGATGACTTTACCAATGAGACCAAGAAAAAGTATGATATTCTGGGAAAGTCTCTTGAGCTGCATAAGCAGTTAGATAAGGTGAGTGAACCTTCTCATGTAACAGCCCTAGTAAGGTTCTACTGAAAATGAATGTTTTTATAAGATCAGGTAATTTGGATGAAAAGTATTCCTTTTTTCTCCATTTTATTCAGAAATTGTTACTATAAAAATTGGAGCAGTAGTTTCCCATAATTACGGTTTTTAAATGATGAAAAGTAGGAAATAAAACTAAGCAAAAATGGGCTAGGCCTAAATTTGGAATGAGAACCAAATGTATTCCAGTGCTTAAAAATTAACAGCATACTGCTTGTTCAGTTGTTTTCCGTTTTTCTGATCTAGAGAGAATAGCAAGCTAAAAGCTTTGAGAATGTCTACATGCTATTCCAGCCTCATCTGAAACAAGAGTTATCAAAATTTTACAGTAAAAAAACTATTTTAGAGCATTTGTCACTTGAGTTTTATGGGGGCCTAAGAAGTTTTGGGGAGTTTTTATAAGATTCAAGTATTCTTTTTGGGTTCCGGATAATTGTGTGACTGAACACTGAAATGAGGTAGTACAGCTGACAGATCTGATTTGTTACCACAGTAACACCCTCTTTGCTCAGATTATTATTATTTTACATGTTACTGGATCATCTAACCCATAAGAGCTGAACTGAACTTGCTATTGTTCTACATATCTAGGCGGGGTGACTTGTGGCCAGCAACTGTTGGATGTTATGAAGGAACATTGATTCCCTTTAGTGACTTTAGGGCAAATCCATATTTTGTGGAGTAGAAGCAGCGCTTCACAACATGGTCTGTCAGTGATGATGGAGTCCTTCTTACCCCATTTTTCTCTAAAGGCAAGCCAATGGTGTGAAGCCGGAATCTACCTCTTAGCTTCCCAAGCTGTGGACAAGTGCCAGTCACAAGAGGGAGCTGAAACTGCACTTGTTGAAATTGAAAAGTTCTTGGTAACAGCTAAGGAACACCAGCTCTCTAACCCGAAGGAGTTCTACAATCAGTTTGAGATGATCCTCACCCCTGAAATAAAGGTAAACCCCCTCAAACTTAGAATTTCAAAATTACCAATTGCCTTGTACATGAGTGTGTACTGGCCTATATATTTGAGTTTGCTCAAATATGCCTCTTTTCCTACACTAAAAGGGCACAGAGGTGAGCACTTGGGGCAGTAAGTTTTACTCAGATGAGCAGTTGTCAAATACGTGGGATTTTTTTTTCAGAGTAGTGCTAGAAAGACTGCATGAGTCATCATGTCCTACTCAGTGACAAGATGAAGATCTGTGCAGAATGCATGGGCTAGGTTGGATTAAACAGCAGCACAGTATGATCTTCACCTCTAGTCTGAGTCTGGGTAACAGAAGTTCTTTCTTAACTTGCTCAGTCCAGTACAACCATGCGTTGTTTGCCTTTTCTCTGCCTAGGCCAATGCCCAAAGAATTCTACGAAAACTAGAAGATGTACAAGAAATGTTTGACAAAAGACAAGTAAGTCTGAAGAAGCTGGCAGCCAAACAGACGCGGCCAGTACAACCTGTTGCCCCACATCCTGAGTCTTCCCCAAAGAGAGCATCACCAAAGATTACCAGACCAGCAGGAGTAGGTAAGTCATGAACACCTGCTTTCAGATACACACCAATGTTTTCTCCACATGATCATGTTTGAATTTTGTTATCAGAATGAAGACTTGCATATGATGTTCAGTGTCAGTGTTGTGGACTCGGTGTTAAAAATGAATGTGAAATATCTGTCACTGCAAACATACTAACAAGGGTGAATAAAAAAAAAGAAATCAGCTTTCTCTTCTTAGGTCTAATTCACAGAGTACACTTCCATACCATTTCTCAGTGTGTATTAATACAGCTAATTCTTGAAAATCCAAACAAAAAAAAAAAAATTGTGCTAAGCACTAACCAATTTTACATTGCATATACTGTAATATGAATATTTGGCTTTAAAGGGTCACAATCCTTCAAGCTTCAATCAGATACTTGCAAAAGTTAAGGGTTCATTAGTGACAATGACATATTGGTGCAACTTCTTTTTTTTCCCTCTACATAACTGTTTATTCACTTCCTCGTGTTGTCCTCTACTAACTATGTAAGTTGAATGTTGCTCCTGTTTGAAATTTACTCAAAGTTCCTTACTTAAGCTTAGCATATATCTTTAACCAAGATAGCTATTTTCTGCAAAAAGAACACGGGTGAAACTAGTTTGAAACAGCGCATCTTGCAGCTACCCAGTAGTACCGATTAGGGGTTGACCCTTTTCAGCAGAGATGCTTACAAAAAATCAAAAAAGGGAAACTCAGGGCTTTTTGAAAGGGGCACCTTCAGCAAAAACCTTTGGAAAAAGCTAATTTGCATGAAGAGCATACAATAAACTTTGCTTTCTCAGCAGGAAGATTAGGACAGCCAGTAGCCTGACCATTTTGCTTTCTAGGCATGCTATCACAAGGTCATACAAATGTCCCTGTTGTTCTCCTCTGCTCCCCAACACTCATCCTTTCTTACCCAGGAAAAGAAAAAAATCTTCTGGTTACTAAGCCTGTTTGACATCTGTACATTTTTCCCCTAAACTATGTGTTTTTAACATACAGTTGCTACCTCAAGCTTCAGCTTTGCTGTTGGCTTAAAGCAAGCTGAGAGGACATTTCCTTTGAAAAGGTCTTGCTCTGCTACCTGCACATCCTCCAGTAATATGTTCCCCTTTTGCACTGTTGTTGGCAGTCAATTAGCTGTATGAGTTGTGATTTACTTTGAAAACTCAATGATGTAGTAGTTAGTTTTCCATCGCATGAGTCACAAAAATCCAGGGAGCTCTGGAGATCACATAACCCAATCACCTTGCTCAAAGTGGCACTAACTTCAAAACTGGTCAGATTGTTCACTACATGGGCACTACTGCTGAAGCAAAAGAAATTGCAGAAAAATGGGGTTAGGTGGTCAGTAGGTCAGAACTAGCTAGTCCCTGCTAGTGGCACTACAGAATGGCTTTCACCTACTGTGAAACTGCATCGTCAGGCTAAATGCTAGTCTTGTGGGTTTGTGTATACATGCAGTCTCTTGTGTTTCTTGAACTTCTTTCTTGTTATTTTAGAGTGCTTGCAGATTTTTTTTAATTAAACTTTTGGTATAGATAGAACCTTAAAGAATAGTCACTAGTATATAAATGACAATGCTTTAAGTTTTGATTCTCATTCATACAGCCAACCCTGTACTATGAGGTCTTTCACAGAAAAATCATGAGATTTGACCCTTGCAGTATAGTTCAGTGTTACACACATAATACAGGATAATTGTGTGACAAGGATTAGCCTCTGATATCCTGTTGCAAATTACTAGGTAGTTTAAACTTACTTACTTCAAAATGTTACTCCAGTTGCTCTCTGAGGAGATGCAAAGTGCAACCCAGTCCTGTTTAGACACTGATAAGTAGACCGTAGCATCTCATTCAGATTCTTTGTGCCTGAAAATGGTTGATCTAGAGTATTCTGTACAAAAAAGAAAAAGAAACCACCCCAGTTACTTCAGCTGCCATGAACAGTACATGTATACCTACATATTCTGTGTAATGGCATCCTTTGGGTACTATCCAAATTGTCCACTACATACTTTAAATTTCCTAAGTCCCCTTTTCCTCAGAATGACAAAGCTCTTGGCAAGTGCTGGTGGTAAGTATTTTAACATCTTCTCCTCTGAAAGAAAACTGAAGCACAGATAAACTGAGTGATTTACCAAGGGGTTTCACAGTCTGAGTCTGAAATGTAGCTGAGAATAGAAACAAGGACACCGAGTTCTATTCCAAGCTTTGAAAATGAGGCTGTAAAATTCTGCTTATCTTGAAGCTACCTTCTCTTGGACTTTCCTGTGTGCCCTCCCTTCACATTCACAGGATCAATGCAGTATCAATATTTATTTATGAAGAGAATTTACTGAACACCATCTTGGAAAAAATGAGAGAGGCTAAGAGCACCGTCTTGAAATAGATACTGTAACATGTTACTATTTGTTACCTGAACATTTCTAAAAGTTTGCAAAATAGATTATGGCAAAATAAAATACCATATTCCTAGGCTGTATAAATACAAAGACAGGCAAAGGCAGTAAAAAGTGGTAAACAGAAATAGAAGGCTAGAAAGAAAGGCTTTTGTCCCCAGGCAGCAGATGATACCATGACAGCATTGCAGTGGTCGTCAGTGCAAAGGAAAAAAGAAGTTACTTTCATTCCAAAATAGATTTTTGGTTTTTTTTTTGACTTGCTGACTATGCATTTCCCTAATAAGGAGTGGTATGGGAAATTCAGTCTAAATCAGGGTGATAACGGAAAAAAAATCTTAACATATGTGAAGGTTCAGGCATGAAATACTCTGTTATTGTAACTGTGAGACTCTTTATTTTACATGGAATATGTGAATACAGGCAGAGCTGATACCATGTATGAGTGAAAGGGCATATTTCTGTCAGAGAAATGACTGTGACAGTTTCTTATGTCCTTAATAGTCTCTGGTGACTCTTTGCAAAGTCTTAGCTTAGTTCACTGAACTGTGAACTCTACCTCACCTAATACTTTTCTGTGGATCTGGAAATTCTGAAGCATTTTTCTTAACTTTCCTTAAAGCTTTTGGTTTCACAAATGAACTTGTAAATTTTGTGGGGATGGGTCTGTTCAGCACTGAAAAACTGATACTGGAATTATAATGGTTGAAACTAGATGATCTTAAGGTCCTTTCCAAACCAGACCATTCTTTGATTCTATGATGCTCAAAAGTCTATGCCAGCTGGACTTGGTGCACATTTTAGCTGTGGGAATCTGTTTAATTATTCACAGATCAACCCAGAAAATCCTCTGCTGACTCTTTTATAATAAATGCCTTGAAAATATTTGATTAGTATATATGACATCTTATTTCAACGAGAACTCTTTTTATTCCAAATGGAAGCTGCTTGAAAACTAATAATGGCTAAACTGATCCATGTATAAGTTGAGAGAAAAGAAGTGTCACTTGATGCAGAAATTCCTTTGCTCTAGTTCACTTCTGAGGGTATCACTTTTGATGATTTGACTACATATTTGTGGTTTGTGTTTCTGTACAAAACTCCTTAGCTGGAGTGAATTGGGATAGGTCCACAGAGTCAAACCATGCAGGCTAGTATTGCCCACAGGCTGTCAGGCACAGTGGGATAAGCCACAGAAGTGTAAAAGATAGTACAAGCTATTAGGGATGACTGTAGTTAGCATTTTTCTATTTTAATTTGCTTGTAATTCTCCCAGACTCTAACTTGTTGAAATGAAACTTTCCCAAAGGCTATCTTTTTCAGCCTGACGCTTCCTTGGAAAACTTAAGCAGAAAATATTTGGCCATCTCAGCGAGCAAGGCTAGGAAAATAGTCTCCCTTCAGTTACCTTTGGGGAGAGCTGGAAAGTGGCACTACAGAATAGTTTTGTCCCTTCCTAAAGTGCCCAGATGTGGCAGAATTATATGCACTTGGAGGAAAAAAAAAGAAAAAAAGGTGCATACATGTTCATTATATATGAACCTGCTACAGTTTAGCTCCGATAGTCTCATTTCCTTTGTTGTCAGCAAAAATCTTTGGATCACAGAGACAAAATATGTTTCTTATCCCTGCACTGCTAGTTTCCTTACAGTATGATCTTGTGGCAGCTTAAGCCTTTCTTAATGCAAGGCTGTCATTCTCCTTCTCTTCCCTCTTCTTTGCCCAGCACAGCGGTGTGTTTGTAACTCTGCTCTCTCTCAGGACTTATGGTCACATAACTAGTGGGAACAAAGGAGGAAACTGAAAACTGCCACTGGGGGTGGATGGGTGTTCTGTTTTGGCTAGTTCAGCTCCTCATTATCCGGTTCCATGAACAGCAGCGCTGACACAAAAAGGAGGCAGAAGTGTGTGGGCACAGGTTAGGAGGAAGGGGAGAGATTTACACAGTTCAGATGGGTTTCAAGTGTTCTGGGGTCATCCCTGACACTGACTACTTAACTGCTGCTTTTATTCCTGTTGACATGGGAAAGAGAAGCTGATGCTGTTAGGTGTAAAGGTTTCAACCCTGTTAAAAGTCCATATGGGTGTTAATGTGATTCAACTTAGTGCAGTTTTGCAGGGTTGTTTGTTTTTTTTTAACGACCTGCTCACCTATATGAAGAAATCTACAATGAAAGAGCAGTGAAAGACTGAAATCAGAATTACTGGGTAGGGCATGCTCTCTTCAATATGTGAAGTGGCATATAGTACTCGGTAATGTGAAAATTCAGATCTAAAAATGTCAAGTTGGTCTCTCAAAGTAGTGTATTCTCTTTTGATCTTTATCTATGGAACCCAGTGGGTTTGATAACAGCCTGTTACCTCTGAGAAGTGTTGTGAAAACAGCTCAGTAAATATTTACAAGGCACTTGAATTGTAAAAACGACTATCAGAAAAAATAAAATTACTTTCATAGCAGGGATTGAAATAGCATATGGATAGAAAGGCTCTGGACCCCCACTGAGAAACACAGATAAATCAAAATAGTGAATAGCTGCTCATGAATTTAGTGGTTTTGACTCCAGGCACTGAATGAGGCAAGGATTCTTATAGGGGTGTGAACCAAGATGCATTAGCAGCAAAGGGGCAAAATTAGGGTTGCACATGTAGCTGAGCTTCTGGCACCTCCTGTCTTCTAAATGCTATAAAATATTAACCTAGGGATTTCTTTGTGTGCTGGAACCTTTTCAGTTCTTTAAATAATAGAATTCAAACTCGTTTCATCTCAGTGAAATGTGTACAACTGCTCACTGGATCCATTCCAGCATTCCTCACAGTCACTAGCGCATAACACTCACTAACTAATAACATCTGGATAGAGAATAAAAAAAGAATGTCTTGCAGAGTCTGGGGATGTGTGCAGGAGAAGTGAGGCTGCAGAGGATTAGCTGACTCAGAAAAGATGGTGCATGTGATTTTCATTAACGGTTTTGGGAAACCACCAGTTTCTGTAGTTCAAGATATTCCTATAAATGAAGTAGAGAAAAGATGCTTTCATTTTTATGGCTGTAGAGCTGCTATCACACTCAGACAAGTATGAGGAAACCAAGTAGTATGCCTCCTTGCAGAATAATATTCCACATACAGGGGTCTTGCTCCATGCCTCCTATATGGGCAGATGTTCAATTGAGGACAAAATTGAAGACAACTTTCCTAGAGTGAAGAAGTATAGATTATATTGCCTAAGAACGGAAAAGACTTTCTGTATTAAGCCATTAAATGATAAACCTTAGATGCTCTACTTGTCTAAGCAAGCTCTTTTGTCATCTCCAGCATTCAAAACAACTCTTAAGCCATTATCTTCAAACTCATCTTCCTGTGAGACCATTTGAGCTGCAAGCCCCAATAGACACTTTAGCAGACCAGGTGTTTGCATGCCTGTTCTTAAAAGAAGTTTGACTCTGCTGGTGATTAGTAAGAATGCATAAACTCTTCCACAGAAAACAGATGGGGAAGCATGTGGTTGGGAAACTCAAGCGAGACCTAAACGTAAAGCACGATATTTGTTTAAGGGAGGCATTGAATGTCTTACAAGTGCTGGGTGTGTGTCGTAACCCTTGACTACAGAGTCTGTGTCTCTTGCTAGCTAATGAGTTACGTTTACTCTAGCAGGAACAAACCTGAGACTAGTTACCCAGATGGGCTAATCCAGGTGTCTCTGAGCACCTGCAACCTGCACACAGTTCTGTTTGTGCCTCATTGTGTGATGCAGCCCGCACTGTGAGAGATGGTGCCAGTACCCTGCCATGCAGGAGCTGGGTGGGGAAATGGGTGAAACCACAGCCTTTCCTCACAAGCAGCACAGCACATTGCCCTCACTAAATTTTTCTCAGTCCTGGAGTTGTGGAGAGGCTGCAAAGCATCAGTGAGCACATGAGTCTACATACTTTTCTAGCACCGTTAGGGACAATACAGTCCACATTACCATGTGCTGTGGGCTAGGTAATAAAACAGTAATTCTGTATTTATCATGCAACTTGTTCATAGAAAACCAGTAAGCAGTACTAAAGCCCCACTGAAAAAGCCCAGTGCTCCAGGTGCATGCAAGTGACAGACCCAAACCCTGCTTTCTTGAAAATATCTTTGCAATAAAAAATTTACCTCTGCATACAATACCCTTTAATAACATTTGCTTTAAAAGCAGCACCAAGCAATTTAAAATATTAATGAATTCAAAAGGAAATCTTCATTACTCATTATCCAGTGGAGTACTGTGAAACAATAGGCTGAAACAACCTTGAAACCATGCAGGCCTTAGATTGTTTATAGATATCATTTTCCTTTGTTCCTGAGCCTTTGTTCTTTCAGTAGGCAGTTGAACACTGTAACTCTCAGCTTCCTCAGCAGTACAGTACAATAATGACCTGTACTGAATTTTGTAAGGGAGTTTCCCTTACAAAACATTTCACAGTAATTAGTCCAATCATAATTGGCAGGTATTTGGGCTGTTTCTTTCTAAAGTGCTTCAGAAAGTACGTAGATGTAGTGACATGCAGGGCCAGTCAATAACTCAGAAATACTCTGGAGCATAACCGAAAACAGATTGCTTCCTGTTTTCAATTCATTTCTGGGTCTCATTGGAAGAGGAAAGTTGCTGTGTCAATCTGAATCAAATTCACCCCGAAATAGAAGTAGTTGCATCTATCTGCTTCCTCCTTTCTGAAAAGTGTCATACTGATGAAGCCAAGACGAAAGTGGTAAACTGATCCATATAATTTGCTGCTGGATCAATGAGCATCTGCACTTGGGCTTTTTATGAACCTGTCATCTTTCTCTTAAACTGCCCAGTGCTCTCTTTCCCGAGTCTGCAAGTTGCGATCCAGACATCAAAGTCCTAACTTTGATTTCCATGTTTTCTGCTGACTGCTTTTAGTCAGGATTTTCATACCAGTATCAACCATCCCTTCAAGCTATAAAGTTTTCTGATTAATGGATTAGGTCAAACAACTTGGTATTGCTGACTATGCTGTTCTAAGAAGAAGTTCTTGGGTTTCCTGAAGTTACTCTCTTTGCTTCCATTCCTTTTAATAACACATCCACTATCGGAATTAGCTTTGTAGAACAATCCAATGGGCTGAACTCAGATTTAGATACAGTAACTGGACAATGGCAGAATAAGTAGTGTATTCCGAAGTGCCTGGTAAGCATGCGGGGAAAGAGTATGAAACAATATTTTTGTTTCTTTAATTGAATCACAATTTTTGTGATTGAGTCTTATTTTTTTAATGCTGGTTTTTGCAGTGTATAAATACAGTATAGTTGGGAGAGACTACAAGTGACAACATTGCTCAGTGTGATAGGTATGATCACAGCCTGCATCTTGTCAAGACAGCAGTGGATGAGAATTTAAGGCTAAACAGAATCTTCAGTATGCATTAGTATGGAAGCATTTGCTGAGTCTTGTAACCACTTTACTCAGGCATTCATGGGAAAAAAACATAAAAGGGCCTGTTTGAAAATTTATCAATGAGTTGATGATCAAATATTCTGGTTTTGTCAGCAGTAGAAATCATCCTTCCTGCAGATTAGAAAGGTATGAAGAACTTTGACAATAAGTAAAGAGCCTATATGCACTGCATGTTGCTTTAACCCCCTTTGGCTTCAAAATGTCAGTACACCACTTTTGGGGTGAAATAACAGTACCTTTGAGAGAACAATTACTACTTTGTGAAAAGCTTTCTTGAAGATGGGAAAAGCATCTGTTGAAAGTAGTGCTCAGAATCAAAACAAATCCCCTGCTGTATATTCTGAAAGAGAGTGATGGAAGAACCAAAGAGTCGACATTTGCATTTCAGCTCAGTCCTGGGAACTGTAAGAATTTTCTAGTGGTTGATTGTAGCTGCTGGTAGCTGCCAGGCTTTGCTGTTCTGTTGAAGAAACTTTCTAATATGGAGTCATTGTAAGGAAGTAATAGGCATAAAAGGGACATTGCCAAGTTCTCATGTCATTCAGCAAGCGATAAAACCAGGAAGATTTAGGGGAGAGCTGGAGAGAAGCTGTTTTAATTAATTCTCTTCACAGCTGCATGGTAAGGTGGTTGAAAAGATATGGGGTAGAAGAAACATCAGCTTCTATTTTATTGCCTATGAAACTGATATGTTGTCTTTTTACCTGCATATAATTTAGTGTGTTTCTATGCTTTTTTCCTCCCTTTTTTACTACATTAAAAATAATTTAATGACAAGAGCACTTGAAAATTTCCTGAGTTTCTTTAAAAAAAAAAGTATTCAGTCCTCTCCTACATTAATCTTTTGATACTGTGATCTCCTCATTCAAAGATGTCTGCATCTTTTTATTGCATCTCTCAGTTTCTCACAGAGAAGAAAAAGTTATTAGAGACCACCAAGACTCTCAACGCCTCAAGACATTAAACTTGGTGAAATCATCTTAAACAGAGTGTTACCAGATGCATTTGAAAACACCAGCTTTTATTTTTGAAAAAGTTCTTGTTCAATTGAAAAGTTTTCTCTGAATAAAACTGAAAAGGACTTAATCTCAAACTTGCAACAATTTTGTTCTTTGTTGCCTGACCCAGACTGATCACTTCATCTGGTATTCCTATTTGGTTTTACTATAACATTCCTGTATTAATTAAGCAGCTATGAAAAAGGAGGGCACTGCTTGCCTTACACACATATAGCATGCACTGTGAACTTACTGTCAATTTAAAACAAAAGCTGTAATAGAGAAGCTATTTTTTACTCAAGCCAAATGTATGATGCCTCTTCTCATTGTTCATTCTAGAGCTTTTCTTTGGACAGCAGTCTCAGGATAAGTGGGTTTATTTTTAAAGGTGATTTTCTAGTAGCATGAGACAGCTCACTGTCAACTGTGGTTTACTGAGGCTACAAGGCTAAACAAACCTGACATGACAGAGCATATACTGAAGCTATTTCCTCTGATTCACTGGCATTACATACACGGTCACAGTGACTTGCTGAACACCTGTATGATTACGCTTTTCAGGTGATGAAACCTTACAGAGAACAGTCCTTTGTAATCTGACGTTAGCAAACCATTACCATAACCAAAATTTCCTTGCTTTGGAAATCCACACACATAGCACTACCTGAGCTGAAAAACTGCAAGTGAAAATTACCCAACAGTTGATAGAGCTGACTAACATTTACCTGTGCTGCCCTAAAGATGGCTGCCAGGGAGGAAGCCAAACCAAAGGGGTCACTGCAAAGTAGATTTTTAGGTGCCAATCTGAGACACAATGGAGCACCAAACAATGAAGCTCATCTCTTGTGCTGGCTGATCTGTCACCACTCCAGCCACAATTCAGTTCTCTAAGCTGGGTTTCAGTTGCCACTAATATGACAGGATCTTTGCTCATAGTTTTTATTAGGAAGTTAGATTTCAAACTTTGGCATACATTTTCTAATGTTACTTTTTTTTTTTTGATTCCTTCAGCTACCAACAGGAGGTCCACAGAAATTTCCTGCCCTCCAAAGACCATTTCTGAAGTAGAGTTATCAAAAAAGAAAAACATTAAGAAGACTAAAGGTGGAATTAAGGTAGGAGGATCTGTGTTTTGGGTACATCCCGTATCACAAGAGAACTTGGCCTTGTTGAACTTCACAAGGTTTGCATTGGACCGCTTCTCCAGCCTCTCAAGGTCCCTCTGCATGGCATCCTTTCCCCCCAGTATGTAGACTGCACTACACAGCTTGGTGTTGTCAGCAAACTTACTGAGGGTGCACTCAATCCCACTGTCCATGTCACCAACAAAGGTGTTAAACAGCACTAGTCCAGTACTGACCCCTGAGGAATACCACTCATCACTAACCTCCACCTGGGCTTTGAGCCATTGGCCACAACTCTTTCAGTGTGACCATCCAGACCAATTTACCAAGTGGTCTATCCATCAAATCCATGCCTTTCCAGTAGAGACAAGGATGTTATGTGGGGCATTGTCAAATGACTTGCATAAATCCAGGCAGATTACGTCAGTTGCTCTTCCCTTATCCACCAGTGCCACAGCCCCATCACAGAAGGTCACCAAATCTGTCAAGGCATGATTTGCCCTTAGTGAAGCCATGTTGTCTGTCACCAATCACCCCCTTTTTGTCCCTGTGCCTTAGTATAGTTTCCAGAAGTATCTGCTCCATGGCCTTGATAGGCACTGAGGAGAGACTGACTGGCCTGTAGTTCCCTGGGTCTTCCTTGTTTCCCTTTTTAAAAATGGAAGTTACATTTCCCTTTTCCCAGTCAGCAGGCACTTCATTGTACTGCCACGACTTCTCAAATATGATAAATAATGGCTTGGCAAATACATCTACTAGTTCCCTCAGGACCCATGGATATACCTCATTTGGTCCCATAGACTTGTGCACCTTCAGGCTCCTTAGATGATCTCAAACCCGATCTTCTACAGCAGGGGGGGTTTCATTCTCCCACTCCCAGCCTTGTGATTTGGGCAGTGTGGCTGGAGCTCTTGCTGGTGAAGACCAAAGCAAAAAAGTCAGTGTGTACCTCAGCCTTCTCCATGTCCTGGGTGACCAGGTCTCCCTTTCTTTCCAGAGGGACTCACATTTTTCACTTGGTTTATGTACATGGTCTAAATCCAAATATGTTAAATGTACCTGCAAGATACAGGAGTGTCACTGACATTGTATTTCTGTGCACAAGTGTTATGTAGCTTTGCCACCATCCCCGTTAGTTAAAAGTTTACCTGAGCCAGAAATCAAATCATATTCAATGCCATTCACTTACAACCTTTTAAATAATAACTTTGGAAATAATGCTCTTGCATCTTCCCTGCATTGAGATTCATGTATTATTAGCTCTTTAGGGCAGCATATCATCAGAATAGTAAAAAATGCTATTTAAGTTATGTTTTGAAGAAGAAAAATATGAATGTGTTGAGGGAAACAATAGAACTAATATTCAAAAATAATAGCAAAAGAACTTGGGTAGTATGGGAGAGATGTACGATCTTGATCAGATCTTGACTGCCTCATGAAAGGGTGATAACAGCAAGTATGCTTTTTTATACTGTTCAGCAGTTTGGGAGAAGAAGAAGAGGAAGGGAATAAGCTTTGTCAATATACCTCTGGGGAAATGTCCCAACTAAAATAAGTTAGACCCCAGGGAAACAAGATGACACATTAGCCCCTGCAGTTGCAGTTGTTAACTTTTTCATAGGTCATTAGTTATTTTAAAGGTGGTTTTTACAGGTGAGCTCTGTAAGAGAACATATCCAGTAACAGAGATCACATTTTATGATGAAAGTTCCCTGGGTGGTTTCCACTTTAGCCCACTATTAATGAAGATATTCTTAAAGTAAACATTTTGGACTTTCTGATTTTTAATGAGTAATCCACAGAACAAGACTCATACTTTGGCACTTCTTACACCAGTAACAGCCACACATGAAAGTGCTACTTTGCTTTAAATATAAAAAAATGGTTTGATCTGATCGATATGTGATTTCTGCACTAACAGGGTTAGAATTAGTAGTTTTCGGGGGTTGTTAGTTTATTGTTTTTTATTTTCTGGGAGGATGGACATATTCAGGAGGGAGAAGGGGAGGGATAGTGTTACCCTGAGGCATAAAAAGCTAAAAATGTATCAAGTGTCTACCTGGCACAATTCTATTAAACTTTAGATATAATGCAAGCTACTTCAACCCAACTCTTCTACTGTTCATACCCCTGACTTGCTGACACATTTGACCTTTACTGCCAAAGGTGAAAAGCAAAAATTAAATTCAGTTCACTTTCTGAAATGGCTAAAACAGCCTTACAGCTTCACTAATAAGCACAAAATAAAATCCAGTCATCGGCAACATCATACAGCTGTTCTCACCTTTATCTAAACTCATATAAAGTGACTCTGGAATCAGTCTTATTCTCATCAGTAATGCAACTGATCAGCTGCATTCCTCCCACAGAGTTAAGTATAGGCAACCACCTGGTACAGGCTTTATGAAAACATCCATTCATTCATTTTTAAATCTACTTTACAAGACTACAATGCAAATTATTCCCACTCTCCTTCCCTCCCATTGTTGCTACAGAATTTGTTTGTATTTTACTTCTGACACTAGTTCATGTGAGTATAGTTTATTAATGGATTCCACCATCACCAACCAGCTAATGAATTTGGCTACATAGACCATAAGACAGGCCGCTGATTTTTCCCCCTGCCAGAATCAGCCCTTGAAAATGAAAGTGCTCAGGAACCTAAAAGACTCTGCTGGAGTTTAGATATTGTCTTGGATTAACTGCAAACACAGCCACTGAGTTGTTTCACTGAATTTGAAGAGATGGCCTTTGAGTAAGCACAGTAGTGCTTGGTACTTTTAAAGCCGCAGGCCAAAGGAGGAAAAGCCTGCTTAAAACTTGCCTGGAGCACACTTGATCCAGCTTTGCAAGACTGGACAAGGAAGAAGGTTAATGTTTCTCAAAATATTATGTAAAATTCTTCAGTCCCTTTCAACCTGGGGACAGCCCTTGCAAATGTATAATGTGCTCAGTATTTGAGCGCATATGTGCTTACTTAATACTGCTGCTAGCACAAAGGCGCTTCTCAGAGGCCCAAGACAGTTTCCCCATGCTTCTTCAGATGGTACTGTACAAAGACCTCTGAAAATGTGAGGTCTTTGGGCTGGCTTCAGGCAGGAAACAAAAACCCATAGTAGTTCAGAGTCTAAGGAACAGTTATGTCTGCAGTTATCTACATTAGGAGATAATGCACCTTCTGTGGCAGAAGAACATAAAGATGCTGCCTGGAGTCAAGAATGCCTCCCATACCAATACTGAGCACGAAAGCAGAAAAATATAAAGGAAGTAGTCTTGATTTACAACCTACACATCTAGAATTATTTTAACTTGTCCAGTGACTTACTAGACTAGGTAGGATCTGGTTTTATTATTTTAAAAAGTTAAAAATTCTGTAAGTAACAGCATCAGCAATTAAGTATTTTCAGTTTTACTGTGTCCTTTTTTATTCAGATTGAAGTGATGCATGAAGCCAGCCAAGGAGGATCTAGCAGAGTCCTTGTGATGAGTGAAAGTGATGAGAACTTGTCAACAAGGAGGAGGTAAGGCTGCACATGTGAACCAGTATCTTTTTGTTGTTCTTAGAGTGCAAATAACTGCATTTATAGTACATGTTATATGATTTAAGTTCACTATTTAGATATAATCAAGACCCTGAAATGCTTATAGACATTTATACACAGTCTATCAAGCTGGAAAAGCAAGCAAGATTTATGTTTTGTTTGGGGTTAGTGGTTTAGTTGGGGTTTCTGATTGTGGTTTTTTTGTTGTTGGTTTTTTGGTTTGTTTTTTTGTTGTTTTTCTTGGAAGCATTAATTACATGACATGAGAAGTCATTAGAATAAATCTTGCATGTATTTACCAAAAAAAGCCATATTAATCTCACTGTGTTCAGGATATTCATGTTTTGAACTATATGCTTATGAGAAGCTTCTCTTTTCATTAAATGCAACCAATAAGCTTTTCTCCCTTTCTGCAAAGTCTTGACAAAAAGATTATTAATGATGTATTCTAAAACACAAAATAGTTAAGTCATTTAGTTTAACAGAAAGTACCAAGCAAACCCAGTTTAATTTAGTTGAACTGCACTGTTTCTAGGCCAAAGGGAACAATTAAAAGAAGAACCACGCAAAAAAAAAAAACCACAAAAAAAACCCGCCCTGCAACAAGCCAAACCCCACAGTCCTCACTGACATAACTTTCTTTGTTTTCTTCTTCAGTATGATTTAGATAGTTTATACTTATGTTATGCCTCTCTCTCACACAGGTATACGCTGAAATTACTTGATGTAAAAGACTACATTTCTAAAAACAGTAGCTTGTCTATTATGCTAGACAAATTGCAGGCACATACAAAAATGCAACTTATTACTATCTGAATTTAATTGCACCCTATGAAAATACTATGACTGGTCTCCAAACCATCAGCTACTTTCAAAAGGTGCAAACTGTGATCTGAAATAGAAGTTATTTAGATAGATACACATCTCTTGAGGAATGATTACAGGAAGAGAACATACAACTTTGGAGTTAATATTAACAAGTAAAGCTTCTAATACCTGGAGGTTTTACACAACTTTAGACCTAGAAACGTGGTAAACAATTTTTTGACCTGTCTCTTTTCTCAAGAACACTTCCTTCACCTTTTGTTCTACAAAAGGTTTGATTCAAGGCAGAATAGAAAGCAAGCAGGGGAAAGGAGGGGGGAAAGCAGTTTGAAATCCTCTAACAAGAGGGATCTCAGAATAGCATTTCAGCACATCAGAGGTAAGCCTGTCAGTTACAAAGAAAGCAACAAGAGATATTTACCTTTTTTCGTTGTTTTGTTCTTTAAAAGAAATGTCCGTTTATTCAAAACAAGTTTTACAAAACAATTGTCTTTTGGTGGTACAGAGCAAAGTTTAAGAATAAATATTGAATATTTTGTATAAAAATTAGTAATATCAAAGGGAAACTGATGCAAACCAAACAAACAGGTAAAAAAATAGCATTAAATATGCTGTGCAACAATGTCAGACTCAATGAGGAGTGACCATTCAGGCTGATACAGTTTTATTTGCAGAAGTAAAACCTGACAGCCCTGCATTGGAGCACCGAGACTATTGTTAAAAAAGGTTCCAGATAAAGGTGTACAAATCTTAAGTCAAAGTTTAGAACCAGAAAATAAGAAGTTTTCTAGCATCTCCAGTTTTTGAAAAGGAGCACCTTCATGCTTTCTTTTTTATTCAGCAAGCAACTTCTTTTCACTGCAGCAAAAGAAATGCATACTACAAACACCAAGGCTCTTTTAAGATTAAGAAGCAACTTAAAAGTCAAACCAGCTGTAAACTGAAGTATTTCAATGGTCAAAAGGAACTTTTAGATAATGGCAAACAACATTAATCAGTGTTTTAAATGTTAGTTAATTTAAGCTACTTAAAACTTACTTTACCTTTGCCTGTGTGAGTGAAAACAATAAATACCAACACATAGTTATGCTGGAAAAAAATGTAGTCTTAATAGACCATTTTGGTTGCAATACTGCATATGAAGACCCTCTTTCCATACATTGAACAGGGTGGCTTTTTCTAGCTGGGCATTTTGCTGTGCAGCTTAATTTAAATGGCTCACAACAGGTCAGAGATCTGATGAAGCAGCTTCCCTTCCGTACAGAATACTACTTTTTCTATATGTGGATTTAATTCTCTATAAGCCAACAGGTTATATACATCTAGGGTTGTCTTGGGGTGGTGGTTGTTGAGTGTGGGTTTTGGTGTTTTGGGTTTTGTTTGTGGTGGTTTTTTTTTTTTAGTACTGTAATCCATCTGTTTAGGCAACAACAGGAGCTGGATTTGTTCTTTCTGAAGTACAGCTGTTAAATTCTTCAGTCATTCCAACACTGATGATGTATCTCTGGGCTCTTTATATACCCAACATTTGGGTCCAGTTAGGATTCTTATTCTTTTCCTTCTGGAAAACCAGTTATAGAAAGTTACATATTTCACTTCATTCCAATAGCTACCTACCATCCATCTGAAACGGCAGCCTAGAGAACAGTCAGCAAGCTCAATCCTGGATTCTGTCTATGCTAACATGTACCATTAGCTTTTCAAACCATTAAAACCTGCAGCAGAGCTCAAGAACAGTAGTGATCATTTAAACGAAGTTTATTACTCGCAGCTTAAAGCTGCCAGGTCTTGTATAGCTGTTCAACAGTAAAGTCAGAAGACACAGACCAGTAATGCACACAGTGAGAAACTTCAGGCAGAAGGAAAAGGCTAGTCTTAGACCAAAAGCAAGTAGTATTGCTTCTGTAATTAGTATATTTCAAACAGAGGCTTGATAATTTGTGAGCTTTTGCATTGTCATTGCTCTGCTGATGAACATGACTCAGTCAAGCATTCAGAAGTAGTTCCCCACTAAAACTTGTTCCCATCAAATAAATCAGTTCACAAGCAGTACCTGACTGCACCTTGTGTGAGCTGTGTCTACTCCAGGAACAGCTACCACAGGTTTGGCAATTAACAGCTAAAATACCTATCCTGAGAGTCCGTAAAAACACCATTAGTGAGCTATACAAGAAAAGACTGCAGACATGCTAGAACTTTGGTTCTCTGCAATATTTATATGGCACCACGGTATAATTTATAATAGTTGACGTTTGAATATCACTTAGTTCTAGCCCAATTTACAACACAGAGGCGTACTGTTCCTCATGCAGGTGATACTACCATTGAAACATATTCAAGATACAGTGGGTTGTGGACACAAACCACCCTGACATGTTAAAGCCAGTCTTGTACTTAAGACTCCAGGAGAAGTATTTTAGTGATTTTGATTTGTGTACTGAATTTCTGTGGATCACCATTTCCTTACCCCTTCACTGTGAAGTCAAAATTTGTGCAGAAAATACTGTCTCTCTTTGTTAGTGCAAGCATGACATTTTGCCTTTTAAAGTTTTTAACAGTTTTAAATTAGCTATAAGTAACATTGTCAGGGACTTCTGCTAACTTTTTAGTACCATGAGTACTGGAAAACAGAAGCATTGTTAAAAGGAAACTCATTTAGCTTATTTGCTTATTAACAATTGGACTGTTTAAATATACTGCTTCAGTTTTCAGAAGGCAAAAAGATTAGCAAAACCAGCTACATGGAGTAATATTTCATTTTTATTTTTTTCAAGTTCTAAAGGAAGCTCCTTTGTTAAAACAACCAAGTGAGAGGGCACTCAAACACTGTTTCCCTATTTCAAAGGTTTAGGGAGCTTTGAGAAAAAGACTGTATCAGGTCTTCACTTCTAGCACTCACTGTCAGTTATGCAGGTCTAGACTTACTTTCTGTGAAGCATGGAGAAATGGTGAATATTTGTAGTATTTTGCCTTAAACTACTGCAAGTCTCATTCATCAAGTCAGTTCTACTTTCCTTGTGTTTTAAAATGTCTATCCCATTTTGTTGTAGCAGACTTTTATCATGTGCCTTAGTTCACATAGCTTTACTGACAAAACCAGTTCACATAGCTTTACTGACAAAAGGCTTACTGACAAGTTCAAAGTAACACATTTTCACCATGCATGTCAAAGTGTAGAAGTCAAGCCCATTATAGTTATTTAATCCAGACTTGCATCCCTTGAACAGTGTAAAAAACCAGGCTACAATGTAAAAAGTTGCAGTATAATAGGAGAGCTATTCCAGTAAATTTCTGGATAGAATTTAGGACCATCTTCCCTCCCCACCCCATTCACATGTGAATTTTACCTCTTTATCTTTTGAATAAACAGCTAAAAAGTTGTTGCTCTGTTTTGGCTCAGTGGATCTTCAACACAGATATTCAAGTATTAAGCAAATGCAGCTGAACAAGGATATGTGTCCTCATAGTATAGTTTACAGAGAAGCATTATATTGACTATCCTGCAGTATATTCTACCCCAAATTCCTGAAGAGAACTTTTTAACTTTAGGATCTGTAGCCTGCTTCCATAGCTGTTGAAGATCATACACATGTCCATGAGATGTCATCATTTTGTTATAAATGCAGGGATGATATGGAGCCTTTCCTTCCCCAGAAAAAAATACATGATGTTGTGGTACAACTCCCATTTTATTGGCACAGAGACCCATGAAAACATCATCTATATAAAGACTTGTATTGAGAGTCAATGAAGCCTCATATACTTTAGCTGCTACATCATTTGATATTACATATGCAGCTCCTGCTGTGTAGTCAGGGTAAGAGGGCCACTGGTACATTTCATATGGAACATAGTATTTGCTATTCTTGTCTCTTACGGGAGGGGATCCGCGATGGACACGACCAATCCAGAGATCTTGAACACCCATTTGTGCTAGACTTTGGAGATAAGCAACAAGATTTGGCATATGGATAAAGATATCATCATCTGCAGACATAATGAACCTGGCATGAGGACAGTAGGCATTCACCCAGCTAAACTGCAATAGCAATTTAAGAGTAAGGTTGTGAAAAGTATCCAAGAAGTCTTGCTGAATCAAATCATTGTATTTCTGGTCTTCCAGCCAAAGTTCTCTTAGCAGCAGGTGATCTGTT